ATTCGGATAGGCGGTACAACTGGGCTGTGTACTGCGTAGACGACTGTTTTGTCCTTGTCTAACATAATGCAGAACGTCCCTGTAAAATCTAGCTGAGGCAACACCCTGAGAACCCTCGGTTTCTTCAGAGCAATCTTATTCTTTTTGTTTCATATCCATGGAAAACGACATTTTTACAATTGGCAAAAGAGCTTGCTCTCTTTCTCCTTTTCAAATAATGCATAGATGCCAAAATGCTTTTTTGCTCGTTTGGAATCTCATTTCTGAAACTGTGGAATCACGGCAGATCAGTTTTTTATCGAGACCAATTAGTTCACGTCGAAGAATGTGATCAGCCCTACCCATCGACCGCCTCTCATTGTCAGAGAAATGAGACGAGAATGGATGGCACGAACTTATGGAACTAGCTTTCACTTGGAAGGTTACCTTGCGTGGGAAGCCATTATTTGCGACTTGTTAAGTACATGCAACAATTATATTCAACGATCCGAAGCGCTAAGAAGGTTAAATGAAGACAGGGAAGACAGCTAGTCAAAAGAAGACTTATAGTCACTTTACGTCATATTTTTGAGCTAATGAAGATGCGTGCAGAATTCCTTTAACACCTCTGTTTCTTGTATTTTATACTAACTAGCTGGCTTTCCCGGCCCGCCCGGGACATTGTTCACCTGGAGGGAGATAGATGCTGTCTTGTTCCTAGCATAGTACTGAAGCGAGAAGTACCCTCTCCCCTCCCTTATGGATGACTCACTTTAGACATCTCCACTTCAGTTCATAGCAACTTCGAGATCTTGAGACTAAAATAAGCTTCAGGGGGTCTCGCCCGCCCCCCTTTACATGGTCACGGGAAAATGTGGTTAGAATAGGATAAGCTTGCGTTTCTCAAGAAAAATGTAAACAATACAATAGATCAATACAGTGGCTCAACGAACATCCGCAAAAAGTAGCGCTAAACAACCATCGGGGTCGAAGACATATGTGTGCAAAGTTCCTCAATCGCGTCATTCGCGGGCATTTCTAAAACGAACGAACAACTTAACGAAGACACAAGGTTTGAGTTTTACATATAAAGATATCAAAATCAATCTGTATTTTGACCATGTGGTGTGTATGAAGCAAGAACACAAAGCAATTATCACTTTTCTTCCTTCTCAAATGATAAGCGAAGTGGAGGTTTTGAACTATCTCTTCGACTATTCAACCTTTACTTCGATCATTTTCTGGCAAACCTCGTATACAAAAGACATATGAAGACCGAAATGATGAGAAATGAAAGAAAATGGCAGGACAATGGCATTCGGTAAACTTTGGTTCTAACAATGTCAAGATGCAATTTGCAAATAATAATTTCACGAACACTGAGTAGGAGGTACGGTATGCAAATCTTTTTTGTAGCCACTTATGTTTAACGATGCCGATGATGCCAATGATGTATGGCTGATGACGCAAACTTATCGTAACTCTTGAGAAGTAATTTTTACAATGTCGTTATGATATATGCTGTGCTACTTACTAAATGTTAATGCGAATATCGTGGTCAATGGTCAGTTGAACTATAAATCTGAATAGGAGTCTACATGGGTATGCAATTACTATTTTCGACTTAGAAAAAAGGCGCAGTAAAAAATACATTTATGTTCTGACTTTGCTAGAATATGCTGAAAAAATTTCCGCAAAAGTAATACGATTCGATCCCTGAGCTGCAACGAATTGATTGATGTGATTAAATAATATTGTTAAACTAGCTGGCTTACCCGGCTCCGCCGTATGTTCCGAATAGAAAATTCCATTTCTTAACCGATCCGGACCAAACTTGGCACACATACCCTTCGGGCCCCGGCGGGTGTCACAGTCCACTTTTCGTTATCGATCGATGTCGATTTTATCGATTTTTTGCAAAATTTGAGCTACGGGGCTGGGAGCATGCTGATCATCCCCCTTGGGGATGATCAGCATGCTCGATTACCCCCCTGTGCCAACTCCCAGCCCCCTAGCTCAAACTTTGCAAAAAAATCGATAAAATCGATAAAAGTAATGGACGATCTTGAAAACTAATATTGTATTCGTAATCTGCATGCTCGATTACCCCCCTGTGCCAACTCCCAGCCCCGTAGGTGAACTCAGCAAAAAAATCGATAAAAATCGATAAAATCGATATCGATCGATACGAAAAGTAGCCTATGACACGCGCCGGGGCCCGAAGTGTATGTGTGCCAAGTTTGGTCCGGATCGGTTCAGAAATGGAATTTTCTATTCGGAACATACGTACACACAGACATACAGACAGACAGACAGACATACATACATACAAACAGACATTCAGCTTTATATATAAGATACTGGAGTGTGTCTATGTATACAGTCTTTCGTTTCCCCTGCTAGCGCTCCCAAGAGCTCTTACAGACCAACCTGATCACTGTTCTCGTTCTTTCTATTACTTTTCAACTGTTCAGAATATGGTCATAAATATGCTCATAACTTCTTGCGTTGGAATGACCATTTCTTCCTATTTGTTTTGTTATTCTCGCTGGAAGAAACCACAAGCCTGAAATGACTAAAAACTTTTTTTTACCTACAATATATTACTTGGAGATTGTTTAATCTGTTACAGGATTAAGGTGTAGATTGGTGGATACCAGTGGCGTACCCAGGATTTCGGCTCGGGGGGGGGCGCGACAAAAAAAATTTTCTAATGATGGTGCGTGGCGTTAGCCACGCACTCCGAAAAATTTTTTGGGATGCTTATCAAAATTTTTGCGGGTCCCCGACCCCTAAAATCCGGGAAAAGGGGGCGTGGCGTCAGCCACGCCCCCGAAAAAAAATTTTTTACAAGGCTAATTTGAATTTTTAAAAATTTTTAAAAATTATTTTAATTATTTACAACAATAAACAAGTCACTTGCACATTTTTACAAGCCATATAAGTAGCTTTCAAAAATTTCGCGACCCATTCTCGGGGGGGGGGGGGGCGCGCGCCCCCCCCCCCCCGCACCCCCCCCCCCTCGGTACGCCACTGGTGGATACGTACCTAGCTGAATAATACCATCGCTTAACTAAATTGACATTACTTGATACCCACTAGGCGTGCACATTTAGAACAAGCAACGAAAGCACCAAGAATATAAACAGTAACAAAGGAAACAAAGATCCAAGTCAGCTCAAGCCCACCTCCTGAACAATCCCTAAAAATAGGGTACTGAGCTTGTTTAGACCATGTACAAAATGATATCATTGGTGTAGACGCTATCTGAAGTGAGGTCTGTCTTTAAACCGCCATTATTTATGAGTGTAACAGTTACTACTGAATGGTAGATACAATGATTTTCTTATGCCGTACAGGTTTTTATGATGACACACTTTATTTGCCTTACGTTTCGGCAACACGCCGTCGTCGGAGGCCTAAAAGTATATTATAGGCTATTATATTGGTAGGCCTATTTGAATGCCAGATAAACTTGGTTACCACTGAATTTGCCTGGCATCCAAATATTCATACATTCTTTCATACCGGTGTAACCATTTGTGAAGCCTTCGCACCGCTCACGCTGCCTCGTTATGGTTATTTATGCTGGCGGATTAAGATAGATTGATACTGCGAATTTCTTATCTAAAATTTCTATGCTTTGGAATATGTCTTCCAAGCTCAGTTATAGTGCTGTCTATCTATTTAGAATGTACAAGTGTAGTTAAATCTAAATGACTGAGTCATTACTGCCTATTTTGTTTCGCTTAGTCTTTTCTCTCATTGTATCCTTCCTTTGTGAGTTCGTTTTAGCATGTCTGCCTTTTCTCAGAACTGTCGAAGTACAGCACGCCTATAAGCGTACCAAATAAATAAAAGCAAATACAGATTAGCTTTGCCTTGTGTAACTGCTTTTTCTCATAAAGGGTTATGCAGTCTGATAACACTTGCTTATATTATTGAAACAGCACTTCTTTCTCTTCGACTTCTGAGATGCAGGCACTTTATTAACATGTATTTTATAGGTTGAGTTCTACACTTAAAGTAGGGAAATGAACTGACGACGCCAACATTGTGCATACTTCAAGAGCCACATTATTTCGACCTAAGAACAAACAACCAAACTGTAAATGGCTCCAGAAGTCTGCCGTTTATCGCGAAAGCATTCACAGTGACAGCCGTGCAAAAATGCAGAGCGCTGACCCGTTCTCTGATAATAGCGGGTCAACCTTGCACAACGATTCCTTGTGTGACTAGAACGCCATGGAACGAACGAACACTGCCGATTAACCGCTCACTCGTCAACTTCGCACCACCCCCAGCATTTCACCTGTCAACGAGTAAACAGCGCTGACGATTGTTGTCGTCGGTGCTAATTCCTGCACTAGCACACGTGCTCGGTGTGGGTTCATCGCAATCACAAGCGATTATCAGTAACCAGTGATCACTACGAACTAGCACCTTGGCACCTTGCATCATCTGATGGCACCAGCCTGGTCAGCTCACTTCTCGTAGAAAAGGCGCTCGAAGGGGTGGGGCCTCGCCCACTTTATCCCTCCTTTACCTTATGTACAATTACGATCGCACGCCTATTAAATTACCATTATGAGGTGGAGCCTCTGCTAAGCCTCTGCTAGTCAATCATTGGTGGGCAGAGAGCGGTGACTCTTCAACGCCTAAACAGTTTTTCGTTCACGATTTGTTACTCATGTTAGCCATAACTAGAAGGTGTTCATTATTTGCACCTTTCTGAGTCAACTCTGACCTTGACAGTCGCCTGTATATATACCCCAGTCTGATAAATATGGTCGTGTATCTAAGTTCACACATTAGCAGCATCCTTTCAAATTTCGCAATCCAGCTTTCTTATGATGACTAACACTCTTTACTTATGTGTAGAAGTTTATGTGTGCCCTTTGTGCCTCTTCATTCTTAGCGAAAACGTGTCCTTCTCGTAGAAAACATCACAATCTCGTTTTTGAGATGCTCCTTATGATTCATATACACTTTTCAAACTGCGTATGATCGTAAACTTTATAGTCATTGTACTATATAAGGCTCATTTGAGGACCGCAACTGTGCCTAGCTCCGAAGTTAGCAATTGAGTTCTCTTCCTAGCAAAGAGATCGCTGCCTTCAGTGTTGCCATAGCTTTCTAAGGTTCATTTGATTTTCAGAAAAATACTACTACTCATTATCTTCCGTTGATAATCTAGTGTTTTCATTCAGTTCACACCAGGCTTGGTATCCGATTCAGCAACAAACAAACACTAGCAATGAGCATGTCGATGCTGAGACTAGTTGTAGGAGTTTGCTTGGCTTGCTTCGTGCAACCGAAACCGTCGCTAATCAATCAGTGCATACGATTGAAACAAATTTACAGACAAATCGTGAGTGTTTGATTCTATTGTTTGCTTTTTTAAGTTGGCAGAAATTCACACTGAAGTTGAAGGATGAAACGCTTCGCCACAAATTCTCACATTTCTTATCGCTAAATTTGTAACCTCTTATGATTGACCGTATGGAAGGAAGTGTGCAGAATCTGTTAACCCATTGACGACGACGCCTAATTTTGCATGGCGGCGCTGTGGGACGACGCGATTTCGCAAAACATTTTCAGCGTGGAAAAGTTTTGTGATTATTCACGAGATGTAAAGTTGTTTTGTAAATACTACAATTATCTTTTTGGACGACGAAGTCCACAGGTTCCAAGAAAGCAAAAAATTAGAAGAAGTTCTGGACTGTGGAAAAAATACTGGACCTGGAAAGCATATGATTTTGCAGTGCGGGCCACCGGTGGTCCACATCGTCGTCAATGGGTTAATCATTGACTCATCTCCATTATGCCGTGACTCTTTCTTGAATTCCGCGAAAATTATGCAATAACTATAGATGTGGACTTGATTTTGTTACTATTCCTCAGATGATATCATTTAATTCCTTGACTCAACACAGTGCGATACACAATAAGCATAAAAGTGATCAAAATTTTTCAACCTTTTGCTGTTTATCTCGTAAATGCAGCTGCTTTTAGTAAATGCATTTACATTTACATTTGCGCTAATTAGCGTTACTCATTTCCGGCTCTTGTAATTTGCTCCAATTAATCACCTTCATTCCTGCTAAGCCATCCATCAAGACGTGAAAAGAGCAAAATAATCAAATAACAGTTTTTTATGTGAAATATATCTCTCCGCTAGAGGGCAGAGCAAGCCAATAAATTTAAAAAATTGAGGAGAGACATTTTAATGTTTTTGATTTTCAGCATAAACTGTAGTTACTTTACTATGTGTTTGAATGTTCTAAGAACTATTCAACAACGAACAACTTAAAAATGAGTTTTTAAAAATGTTTTTTGGCATTGTTTTGAGGTTTCATACAGGAACTGCTTACAAAAATTTTATTGAATGCTTCTTCTTTATGCTACCATTTGCCTTTTGATGTCTTGTGGATCGTCTCGAGTATTTAAGATATGCAAATCTAATAATACAAATAAACAAATGATAAATGAAATGATTTGCGAGTAGTTTTAAAAAACTCTTTCTGAAAATGTAAAGTTTGTAGTTTTCTGTGTTGGCTACAGTCTCTTCTCTTGCCCTGAGTCTCCCACTGAACAACATCAATCATTGCCATTGTTTTGCAAGTGGCGCTCTTTTGATCAAACATTTTCTTAGTCTTTTACTATGTTTTTTTCGGTTTTTGTCCTAGTGTAAGTAGTTTGCTAAACTAAAAGGAACCATACTAAAAAATTTTTTACCATACTAAAAACATTTTTGAAAAAATCTGGAACTGCGTTAGTAACTGCTGCCCTTTTTTCTTTACAATCATTCTCGAAATTTCTTTCATGGCTACGCCTCTTCAAAGGTTTTTTAATTTTTAGAAAACATGCAAGTTGAGTAAATTGTAAATCTGTGAAAGCGTAACCGTCATACTGCAGTAAGACCTGCAAAAGCGGAACAGATGACGAAGTGCCTTTTCCTTTTTTTAAAAGTACACGTGTGTGTGTGAAAATATGTGCTGCGTGATGCAGTTACTGATAAAATGTACTGCACTTTTGGCTATTATTTTACTCAAACGGAATTGACGTCAGTTACAAGGAAGTTCGAATCGAGATCAATTGGAAAATCCCTAGATATAATTTCTTTGAGAAATCCGTAAATAGTATGTTTCAAAACAACCTGAAACACAATGACGTCCACAGTTTGTTGAGCAAAGAGCAAAACTAATAGGGCATTTGCCTTCTGAGTGTTTCTCGAGTACAAAATATGTGCAAAATATATTCGCCTAATGTCCTGTTTCCAGTTTAGAATCGTCAACAAATTCCTTCTCCTGCAAATTCCCCTGTCAAAATCGCTTAATTTTGAGGACAAAACAAAAACAATCAACATTCTTTGTTCTTGTAAATTGCTGCGACTCTTATGACTATATTAGATTGCTTACAATATGTTCTCTCTCTCTCTTTGTCAAGCTTCATCTTATTGTTGTTTTTGAGGCAATATCAAATTTCCGCTAAGAATAAACGTATGTAATCATGACGCAAAACAACCACATGGTAGTTAGTTCCAAATGCTATGTAAATCCAGGAAAAAACACAAGATCGTGTATGGTAGTGGGCGAAAATGGACTCACAAAAACATAAAAATGCGCTAGATTGAAGCAAGCTAATTATCTCAACTTTTTCTATGGCTCACTAATGAACTGTGTGTTTTCTAGGATTCTGTTTTTAAAAATACAAACAAATGACGTGGAGTTAGCAATCTAAAGGACCGGATCCTCTCCAAAAAAATGTCATTTCCAAACACTGCGAAATTCTTTGTTGCTCTGCCTACACTATGCATTTTTTTTGCGGTCTGACTAAGCGCTTAGTACTTCGAAGAAGGCATGGTATTTATCAAGAAAAAGCTACAATGAATACAAACTGTGTATGATTTGAAAGATTAACTTTTGTGCTTTTCACATGTCTGAACTCTAGATGATTCCTTGAGAACAGATTCCTGCAAATGATTTATGAGTTGGACTATTAATCCCTCTTCTTATGAAATTAGCAGTGTAATTCAAGTACCTGATTTGCGGCCACAGTATAGCTATTTCCATCTAGTTTAAGATGGACTCGATGCACCTTTTGCCTTGTCTGTATGATAAAGAACTTGCATTTCAGATGAGTAAGTGTGAGAAATAGGGAAGGAAGGAGGAATCCGCATCAATTTCGCTAGGATACTGTTTGCTTTCAGCCTCCTACGATACAAACTGTTGAAAATGAAATGTGCGATAGTCCATTGAATGTTATGCCATGCGAACTGATGGGAAAGCTGTCACTCGAATACACTCGACAAAAGATTATGGAACTCCGAATGAAGGTGGGCCTCCTAAAAAAAAAGTAACCGCAAATTACCGAATGTGGGTGAAAAGCACGTACATCCCTTGAAAGCAATGATGATGCGCTCAAATGCACATCAAATTCTTCAATACTAACTCCATGCATATCGGTAAATTAGTTGGCGGCTAAACTCTGGTAAATCTATACATTTTATTGATTCTAACTAGGGAAACCACTCTTAAAGCTTTTGAAGGTTATTCTTAAGCTTCCATATAATGATGAACATAGATAATGAATTTTTTAGAGGATTTCGAATTTAAATATTTTAGTCACTTTTGAGATTTTGAAGGCCTGGGACCGCCGTTCTATGAGAGAGGTTGCAGAAATGCAATCTAAAAATCTAAAAGGTATACAAGGGAAAAATCACAGAGGAGAGCTGAGAAAAATTAGTGAAGAAAGTGTAGTGAAGTGATCTAATATATTTACAAAACTTTCATAAACTTGCTTATATTAGCTTACCATACGTACATTTTTCGGCGTCAATCATGCTGGTGGGCAGACCTTCTTACCTCTACATAAGTACCAAGCAAATTTGAAATTTTGGAAGCACTGAAGTTTTTCGAAATCAAAAAAAGAACAAAATCATCGAAATCAAAAACAGAACATGTCCAAGATTTCTATAGAAGTTCTGATCAAACTCAATGGACTTGCAGTCACTAGATTTTTAAACTTGATATTTCTTACGTCGCTTAATTCCTTCCTTTTAGAGCAATTGTCTCGGTTTGGAAAACAGCTCAGAGGCTGCCAGTCAAGATGAAAAATGTGCAATTCTTGAAAGCCTTCCTCAGCAATCTGTGAAACTAGCAACGGTCAGTTTTTTTGTCATTTCCTTCCTGGTTCCATTAATCCATTGCTATTATTACCTGATCTATGGGCAAATTAAGGCGTAATAATCTTATCAAGCTACGTAGTAGGCTGTAATTCTATAATAAGTTTGGTGTGTGACGTTGTTTGTCAGCTCCGGGAGAGAGAATGAAATAGTACCGAAGGAAAATACCATTTCAAAAAGTGAACTCAAATAACCCTGCTGTTTTAAAACGAACACAAGAAAGTGCTTTGCAATTATACTAAAAATAGTCGCACACGCCATTTTTGAGAGCAAAATCGTTAATCCTATCATTTTGATTCACGTTTGGTCCGTCTTAGTTGCTTATCAAGAACGATTAGTTCTGATGGAATGGCTACAGTAGTGGAAATCAGAAAACAAACTTTTTTCTATTTGCGCGAATTGTCCAAACATGGGTGTGTCCGAGATATTTGGTACTATGACGAAGTGTTGCGCATTTGATTGACAGTCCATTTGTAAGATCTGCGATGCGAAATTGTAAAAAAAATTCTTTGCTTATTTCACGTGATCACTATTGGTCTTTAGATAGTTTGAGTTTTCTTTTATGGAACTTGCTGAATTCTAAAACCATATAGAAAAAAGATAACAAAAAAATAACGATCATCTTGTGCGGATCAAGGGTATCAGGGGAACATATGTTTTCTAACAATATGAGGGTAAACTGGATCGAGAAATTTCACCACCTCATGATTTTTGCAGGCTTATAAAAGTGCTTTTTGAATAAGAGTACTGTAACTTCTTACATTTATGAAATTTCTTTTGACACTATTACGAATTCGCTAGAGTGATGCCGGGAATGACCGACATATGGTTCCACTCGTGTTTTTTACCTTCAGGCTCAATCTTCTCTAAAATCATTTTTGAAAGTGAGCGGAGGCGTTTTTTGTATTAATTCTCGCATCGGATTTCTATGCTTGACGTCAATGAAAGACGATGAATTGGGAGAGTGACGAGAAATCTTATTTGAAGTCTCTGATACTGATTTTTCTACGCCGTAATGTGTGCTTCTGATTAAAGAAGCAATCAAGCCAAACTTGCTGCGCTAGATTGAAAAATGATTTATGAAAGTTTTAATAGGAGCAGAATCTAATGATTTGCGTAATCTCATGAATATCATCATAAATGACGTGAGAGGCACAAAATGAGTCAGTCACGTGCTTTGTAGCGAGAGTTGAGTATTTGTCAAATGTGGGCCGTTTACTCTTTTTGCTCCAATTGCATAGCTCTCAAAACGTCAGGAGTTCTATGAGATGTATGATGCTTGAAATTCTTGATGCTTTCCGCTAGCTTTTTGCTCTAGTTTGTTGCCATTTATCAAGAGCTCTGCGGGAGAAGTAAATACCCTGTGTACTTATGATGAAAGATCACATCTCTTGCTGATTTCTCCTGGATTGCGTGTACTTTGTAGGCATATAATGATCGCTACTTTTCTAACAGCAACTTTTCTTTGTTGCTTGACGTTTCTCTAGCAAGGCCTGTTTGACAGCAGGTGGATTCACGTGCAACTTCTCTCGATGCAGTTGAACGCGTGGAACAGAGAAGCTCCAAACATTTGCATCATTCCACTTTTTGCTGACTTGTGGAACAGCACTGATCGCTCACACATCGCTTTAATTTCATCAAGTTGTCTTGTACTTTTTATCGGATTGAAATCTATGAGAACACCGCTTTTCACAAGCACCTGTTTGACTCAAAATGGTGTTAGTCACGTGGAATATTAGAGCTGAACCTGCATCTAAAAAGGGGGCTAGGCAGAACAATTACGGATTGACAGTGAGAACAGCTGGTAGCTGTTTAAATCAACTCAAAGCAAGTCAGTTGATCACGATAAGTGTATACTTGTTGAACTGTACCTTAGATAGAACACCTGCCATATCATAAGACAATCAAAATACGAAATTGTTTGATAATTAATTCCTAAATATTAGTCTTGCATACTCCCATTGCGAAGGTGGAGGAAAGGGCTCCATAATAATGATAAAGAAAGAAAATTTCGAAAGAAGGACAACATGTTAAAAAACTCATCTAGAAAAACGCTTGCACCAAATTTTTTTGATTTACTGGAGAGAGCCCATATATAGCTTTCTCATCATTATTACCGAAGAGCACATAAGGAGCTTGAAGTAATGCAATGAAAAATTAATTTGGTGGCGTAATGAAACACACTGAAAGCTAGAGTTTCTTCTGAATAGGTGAAAAAATGATTCGGTGGGTGCCTAATGCTCTTTGGAAAGAATCCTGGTTTTTTTTCGTGTTTAATTACTCCAGATTGTAAGATGATATCGTATAGCTCGCATCATTAGCTATTCTGACCTTACAATTTCATAAAATATTCTGCAAAAATTATATTTTTTTGTAGTTGGCTGTGCAGGGTCTTTTTTCCTGATATATGGTAGAGGGTGTATCCAAAAAAATGTGGTATTATCTGAACAGCTTTCGCAAATCCTTATTTACCGTACTGCTTAGCTGGCTTCGACTTCGGAGTTGCAGTGAAGAAAAACAACAGTGCCTCTTCATTGCTGTAGGATTACGATAAGAAAACAATTGTGCGCTGTTTGGGATACTGCCTCAAAAAAGTTCAAAAACTATTACCATAGGCATGAGCATTGCACTTCACCTTGATCTCTCCTTTGAGTCACACCAGATATACAATAGTAAGAGTGGCGGTGCTCTTGATAATCATCAAATATCCGATTACACCAAATTCCAGTGATTTGTACAAAGTTATATATGAGGCCATCGAGTGCGATGTCGCCGCAAAGTCCCACTTATTTTGCGAATCTTCAAAATGGAAACTAACTTGGAAACTAACTAAGCTAACTGAATTTAGAGTATTCATAGAATAGATTGAAGCCAGCCCTACGTCATGGTGCTTGATAGCAAAAGTTATCATGTAAGAGACTTACTGCAAATGGAACGTTTTCCACATTTTTGATAACCTCGCTTCGCTTCTTGCAAAAGTAAGACTTCAATTTGCAGCTGTCTGAGTGGTATATTTAACTACACATAATAGTAAACAAAAAAAGCAAAAGCAAGCTCCAGAATTGTAGGAGCAGGAGAACGCTATTTTTTGCAACATTCTGCAATATATGCAAGATTTTGAATTGTTGAAAAAATCACAAACTATTATAAATTTGAATTCTTGTTTTGTACAAGTCTTGGCCTGCAAAATGCGATTTTGAAGAGTTTGTAAACAGCCTTACTTTTGAAATATCTTCTTAGCACGAGCTATACTCCAGGAGTAAAGTATTAGTTAGATTGTTATTGTTTGAGATTTAATATCAGACTCTTCTAATTACATGTTTTCATTTTGGTTTAATTCTCAGGGGGTCAAGCATAGCTAAAACAATATTAGAATCTAACATTGGGTAGAAAACATTGAGTTAGAATAGAAATAATAAAATCACCGTTTCGAAATATTGAATGTTATTAGCTTTCAAGAAATTAACAGTCTCATGAACTTACTGCAGTGCTTCTGGCGAATAGATAAATCCTTCTTGAAATCCAAATTTCAGAAAATCTTCGCCAACACGCCGGAAAGACAACTATCGCAGAAATTCGCGTCGGCCGTTTCGAGAGCCCTGTTCACTCTGACCTATCCGGCCTATACGGATCTCGGCTGCACTGATCAGACGAAAGCTTGACCTCGCTTTCCAAAGAATATTATCCTTTCTATAGGCTTTAATTTGTAGTGATCTCTTCTTGCATTCAGGTGTTCTCGCTTTTTGTTACCTAGTCATGGCAGATATTCAAAAACATTGTTTCACCAAGGTATACTGTACATTTATTCGTACATAAACATACATAAATATGGTGTGTCATGAATACAATAATACATAGAATATCGTCGAAAGACTATGATTCTGATATCACAATGCGGAAAGACATAGCAGTAATGAGGAGTACTTCGCGCTCTACCCGAGGTAATACTGCGGAGAGAAAATGAAGAGATTGAGAACATGGATAAGTAAAATCACCTATGGAAAATACATGGGCAGGTACGGAAGGATAACTGTCACCAAATAAGTTTAAGGCTGGTTACAATCGATGGTACAAAAATTCAAGGCACGATGCCTGGAAAGAATTAGAAGGGTCTTATGTATAATTCAAGGCAGCTTTTACGGAATCCTTCAAGTATGAATACAATGTTTCTTTTGCGCATTTTTAGGCTTAATAAGAACGCAAGGAAGTGGTGAGATACATAAGAGAAGAGAAGACATAGGGGGTCTTTTTGACTGGAAAGAAACTACCTATCCCGCAATAAATCAAAAATATTTCAACCAAGTGGAGATTAGTCCCAGACAACTTATGCTGTCATCGGGAAGAGCTTTCAGTTTATTGTGTAAACCAGGTTCAGCGATTTGACTGGTACGATTTGTTTTATCTTGAATTGTCAATGAAAAGAAGACTTTTTTGCTTTTTCATGGATCAGTGTAGATCGTGAATTTCATTTAAGTACGAAAAAATCCTACTCTTACACCCTGTAAAGGCTGATTATCGCACCAAAAAAAATTCTTTTTTGTTTCCTCTTCCTTTTGCAAGAGAAACTGCTTCGAACTTTGAAGTTATAGTATTTAGTAACCTAGATAAGCAGGAGCAAGATTATCTTTCGCTACTGGTGGGAGTCGTTCAAGAGAGAAAGGTGAAGGTCCTAAATGTGCTAAAACTAAAAGAATGGAATTTTTGGTAGATAGATTTTTGTTTTTTTGTTGGAGAAATTCTAGTTTTCCAAGCCCGCTCAAGGGCAATTCTTTCCTAGAACCTTTGTACAGTTCCATAAACTCAGACTACCCAGCTTCTCTTGCGATTACAATGCACATCCATATGAGGGCTGCTTTCTCCCTCGTTTGACTGAGCAGTGGGCCCAAAAAGAGCAGGTCCCAGATACTTGAACAGTTCCGTGGCTTGCTCGGGAGAATGCGAAACATTCGCTGTTGATGTCACAGGTGCAACAGCTCGAGCACTTCGCTCGGCAGGTTGTTCCACCTTAGAAAATGATGTCCATAGAGGTTTTACAGGAATAAACTTACAGGCTCATACCTCGCGAAAGAAGTCGTCGAGTCCATCACGCAAGTCTGGCAATGTTCCCTTGATTGTGAGCGGCAAAATACAGTTGAAATCATCTGCACTCGTGGTTGATTCGGTTGTGTTCTGTCCGGAGAAGAACGGCTGTGAGAAGAGCGCAGATGTAAGTGATGCCGATGATTCCGGTGACGAGCTCTCGGGAGTGAACATCGAAATGTGCGGCATGGTTTTCATGGGAATTTCGACTTTTATCTATAAAAGAGCATCATCAATATTTTGAATGACATTTTTGTGAAATTTCTTCACCTGTCCGCACGATATTCCGTAATGGGGAACCATCGTCATTGGGTTGAACGGCTCCTGCTTGATGAAAGGGACAAGCTGTTCCAATGTCTGTGGGAATGATGTTTCCGCAGGGAACGGAGAGACAGGTGATAGAGGTCGGTCCTTAATAATACATCAAAATATGACATCAGAAATTTGGGTATGTGCAACAGTCTCCCCCGCATTCTGAATTACAAAAACGGTTCAAGGGAATCAAAACAATTTTTACTGGTGGCTCGAGAGCCTAAAAAGTAGAGGCATTTAATAATTTTTGCTAATTCGCTCGAAGAGAGGATCCATTACGATTTTCAAAATGCTACGTGCTGCATTTGCTTTCCTCAGGGTAATTAGTAAAAAGTGGGATCTCTGACGTCATCAAAGTGTCCTTGAACGGACGGCTACGTCAAATGTCTGTTATTTCCCATCTGCGTTCATAGTCGGTCAGTCTTATAGTAGTAGTGATAATAATAATTACAATGTCAATGCTTTTAACTATTTGGTAAAAAGATTATCGAATTAGATTGAGTTAGAAGTATCCATTACATGTGTGATTGATGTATCATCTATTCCATGACTAGGAGACGCGAGACCGCATTGCGGACATTGTCATAACAAGTCTGAGTTTGTTCTTCCACGTTTCCAAAGAGTGAATAAACCTGGAAGAGATAAATAACAAGTATAAACCTGCTAACTACACGATTAGGCTTGTTTGGACAATGTGTGCAATGCGGTCTCGCGTCTCCTAGTCCTAGAATGAATGATATTTATATCTATGAGTACGTAATAAAAACATATTAGCGGATAGAAAGATCAAATCAGTACTTGTGCCTAGGGCCCCAGCACTGATGTACTGAAAACAAACTAGATTCCGTTTTTGGAGCTAGTAGCGAAAGGGATATCCTTGAACATGTTAAACATACATATACCTGATCTCCAAATATGTACACCTCTTTCAGTAACAAGTTGTTACACGAGTGACGGCTCGAACTTGTTCCTTCTCACAAGTGCGCTTCAAAATTATGCAAAAATGAACAAATGACTTGTTTACAGCGCACTGTTGATCACATGACACCAAATTCGGATATATGCACACAGCAGTGGCGGTCCGAGGGGGAGGGGCGGGGGGGGGGGGTAAAAATGTGCAAACGACTTGTTTATTTTTGTAAATAATTCAAATAATTTTTAAAATTTTTTAAAAATTCAAATTAGCCATATAAAAAAAATTTTCCGGGGGCGTGGCTGACGCCACGCCCCCTTTTTCCAGATTTTAGGGGTTGGGGATCCGCAAAAATTTTGAGAAGTACTCCTAAAAATTTTTCGGAGTGCGTGGCTGACGCCACGCACCTTCATTTGAAAAATATTTTCTCCGCCCCCCCGGTCCGAAATCCTGGGACCGCCACTGGCACACAGTACTACCCCTACATTTTATGTAAAAGGTTTCGTTAGCTAGTTCTAATACCTATTCTCAGATGTTGGTTTCTAGACCTCATCAAACCAACTGGGTTGGTTCGGAGCATGATTCTCGGAGAGATTGAATAATTTTGATCTCTATGGCTTAGACTCTATTCGTCAAGGAGATAAAACTGAAACATTGCTTCCTCTCTTTTTGGGCCATAAATGGATTCACATGAGTATGCTTTGATAAATATTGCGCTCCAATTTACGTCTAAGGTTCAAAGATGCCAATGGTTAAGTAAGACTTCTAGTCATTCTCTTCTAGGTAAGATTCTTGCAGGTATAGGAGCGGAAAAAGGATTGTCATTGCTATAAATGTTTTTTGTGAATTCAAGAAGTTTTATTAATGCTCTCTCAATTCTTTTCTTGCTGAAACGTTTGTCTCTGAACATAGTTTTGCAACATTTTCGTATCGTGTTTGATTATTGTACCCTTCTTCCATTCCATACAAGGTTTCGTTAGCTAGTTCTAATACCTATTCTCAGATGTTGGTTTCTAGACCTCATCAACCGACTTCGAATTGTGCGATGTCATGGGATACCTCGCTATCGAAATTCTCGAAACTAACATGTGCTGGGCCCTACTTGTATGGAAAGATGAAAATCTATTTTGATTTTTTGTAATTGTAGTAAGTAATAACAACCTTATTATGTAATTGTATAATATAATGGTGATAGCATGTTTTTAAATGTTATTGTACATGGATATATGGTTATCTTAGGAAGATATTCTGACATAATTTGAAGTTCTATAAAAGGGCATCTACAAGAAATGTCGTCATAGTGCGTGACTCCATGTTACTCTAGAAATTTTTTAGCACTTTAGTGATAGCGTCAGCTGATTGTACTGGACAACATCTCGGAGTAGATTTTTTACAACAACAAAAAATGGCTTTGCGAAAAGTAGATACCGAAATGTAGTCACGTGAAAGTAGAGTGTTACTCGCACCAATCTTTTTACTTTGCAAAAAATGCAGTATTTTGAACATATAGAATTGCATTACAATTGATGTCTGACCGAAGCCAATGGTTGTTGCAAATTGAAAAAAGGTGAAGATCACGTCATTTCACTAGAAGATGTCTCAAAACTTTTTACTTTGAGAAAATAAAAAAAGGGAAGCATCATCACCTCTGTTTGCTCTATAATTTGCAGTGACCGTAGCTTTAATTTCATAAATGTATGTCTCGAAACTTTTTACTTTGAAAAAGTAGAAAAATGAACGAGAAAACATCATTATTTTTGATTGAACGACTTTGCTCTATAATTTGCAAATGACCAGGCAATATAGTTGCAAAAATCAAAAAGATTAAGTTTACGTTAATTCCATCAGAAGATTATCAAAACGCTTTACTTTGAAAAAGTAGAAAAATGAATGAGAAAACATCATTATTTTTGATTGAACGAGTTTGCTATGATTTGCAAATGATCAGGCTATATAAAAAGACGAAGTTCACGTCAACTTCATTAGAAATTGTCTCAAAACAAAGGGAAGCATCATTACCTGTGATTTGCTCTATAATTTGCTAGTTACCGTAGCTTTAATTTCAAAGAAGGATGTCTCAAAACTTTTTATTTTGAAGAAGTAGAAAAAATGAAAGAAAAAACATCATTATTTTAGATTGAACGAATTTGCTCTATGATGTGCAAATGGCCAGACTTTATAGCTGCAAAAATCAAAAAGATAAAACTCACTGAAATTCATAAGAGAACAAATACTCTAATTTCACGCGTACAAGGCGCGGGGGAATTTTTTTTCTAAAATCCGCCAGCCCAAACACGCCACAACACTTCGCGACCAAAGGACCGTATAACGGGCTCCGTATTGCCTGAGAGAATTGAACGGTTTGAGATTCGCTTTCCGAAACACATCGAAGCGGTTGAGCTTGTTTAAAAAATCGAAAAAGCCTTGTACACGTGAAATTAGGGTAATTATAATGAACCTAATGTACCTTTTGTAATGAACCTCACGTCAATTTAATAAAGTGAATTCTCAAAAAAAGGGAAGACGTAAGATTGTAAGCCTGCAACATTTGATACTAAAGTTTATTAGACCACATCGTCGTCCGATTATCGTTACCTAGGTGCGATAAAATGTTAATGTCATAGGTCTACATATATCTGATAAAAAAAAAGAGGAAAGATTAAATCTCCTCTAACACAGGATTAGAAATCGCTGTTCATACAATTCGAAGTACGTGAGCTCTTAGAAAAATGATCGAGCCTGACTAAGAAATTGCAAGAACGGCAACTTAAACACTTAATTTACAAAATATCAACTCTAAACTCTTGCCATTACCGCACTTTCAAAAACGAGCTGGGGCCCTCGAGTACGGTGCTAGATAATTTGATAGTTTGAAGTTGAAACTTGAAAGCTGAGTGAACTTTGGTTGAGCTACTAACTCATAGGAAAAACGGGTTGAGCTAGGTTTCCCGTCGCGATAATTTATGGTAATAGAAGCGCATTAATATCAGTTTTTAGAGAATTTCTAAAGAACAAAACACATGTCAAACTTTTTGTGTAAGCTGTTGCTAAGTGTTTATGTCGGCAGAAGCGTCGCTTTTGCGATCACTTATTTCAACAAAAGTTTCGTTGGTTAATATCTTGGATTACTGGCAAATCCTAATCTGGATATACTTACGAAAGTTTAGGGAAAAAAACCTCTATACAAAGCTTTCAGTGAATATGCACAATTTAACCACCAAAATGAGGCCAAGTTTATCGCAATCCTGGATAAGTGAAGAAAATTTTGGATTTCCAAATATAGAGTTATTGTTTCCCGCTTGTCTACTCTGTTGCAGGCTTAATTATCCCTTCAAGAACGGATTAGCTCGCAATCGCAAATTACGGACTGCTTAAACTAACAGCTTCAGCAATACCTAGTCAAAGCCTCCCATCTCAGACCGTTGAAGGGATACTTCCAGAGGGCAAATGTCGGGGGCCTGCCACTTCATTGCTCCGGAGCCCTCCCATTTCACTCATTTTGGTGCTCCGGGGCCCCCTCAAATCTGGCGCACCACCTCACGGTGACGTCACAAAAAGGCGAATGGGACCCCTCCCCGGGCTGGCAAATCTCTGCTCCGGGGGTGCGCCAGATTTGGAGGAGCTCCGGAGCACCAAAATGGGCGTGGGAGGGCTCCGGAGCAATGAAGTGGCAGACCCCCCGGCATTTGCTCTCCGGAGGTATCCCTTCGACTGTCTGAGATAGTATAATTGCGCAATTATTTTGAGTCACTCATAGCCCCAAATGTGCTTACCGACCCTGAAATCAGAGTAAGGGGTTTAAAAACAACTCGGCTTCCTTTATGCCCTCTAGGTGTCTAGCTACCAAACTTGTGCAACCTGAGACCAAACAAATGCCTATAATTTCGTCCAGTATGTCGTTTTGCAAATTTGAAAGTCAGACTAGGAAACTGTATTTCAAAGCAGCCATTGCGGTATATATCTTTTTGGAAAAGGTCATTGTGATTGAGATGGTTTTTTTCAGTAGTTTGTTGTGGAGGGACCGGACATCACTGACGATCTTATAGAGCACGGTGTAAGTATAATAATGTGCAGTGAGGTAATACTTGATAAATAAAGCATTATGCTTCAGTTCTGTCCATTGTCCACAAAATGAGCTTGTACATTAGCTCAAAATTTTTTGGATGTAACTTACAGGTGTGGGCGATTCTTGGCACGGGAACGCTGCAGGATAGGTATGGCGCATATTGTAAATCCAAGAGTTCGCTTGCAACGTAGCTGCTTCGATGCCACTGGATTTAAATTCTATTTTTAGTCACTGTACCGTTTTTCGTTCAAAAGCAGCACCTTAGTGTTTGGTAATAGCAGTGGATCACATGCCGCACACGTCTTCCGTCCTGTTGTTCGTGACTGAGATTTCCGCGCACGGCGAATACGGTATGCATCCAGATCCATTCGTCGCTTGCTGTCCTCATTTTGATGAGCGCCAGCACGGAACCCTCTTTTTCTTGACATACTGTAAAGATGGCTTTTTGTCGGAAAAGCTGAGCCATGCTAAGAAGTTCTAGGACACCACAAAAAAAGTTTGGTCACTACAAATCTACAAAGACATTACAGATTACAGACTGCGCTGGAGTGCCAGATTGGATAAAAAATAAACTTCGTTTATTCCCGAACATTATAAAGCTTGAAAACAAGTATTACATTAGCCTGGTATTGACAACGAGTATGTCAAATAGGTTCACCCGCCATGTCATTTATTGTCAAAACAAGCACGTGTTTGACAAGTTTGTGCTTGTGATCCCTCTGATCCAGGATTATTTGCCACCTGAAAACAGGAAGGAACGAGCTCAATTTTATTTAGACAGTGTGTGCGGCGGCAAATCTCCTACAGGGGGACGCTTGATCGAAGTGGCCTTTCCAGTTGAGACGCATACAATCTTAACACATTCACGAAGGCCGATTTTTCGAAGACTGCCGTTTGGGACCACAGCCTTTTTTTGCTTTGTCAAACTTACGACCCACCGGTGGGTCGTACTGTTCGAAATGGCAGAACACGTATGACCCACCGGTGGGTCGTACTGTCGTAAATGTATTGAAGGGCATTGAACGCTGATTTCAAATGTCTTCCTTATCTAAAGCGCCATTGACTGAGGATTTATTAGCGATTTATGAGTCAAAAAACTAAGCGCCTGATCAAAATCTCACAAGAAACTTTCGTATATGATTTTCTTCTAACTACGCCATTATATTCGCTACGCAAGCTCTCATAAATCCTTGTGTGCAGAGGCGCTCTGCAGATAAGGAAGAGAGATTTGGAACCAGCGTTCGATGTTCTTTGGTATGATTTTCTCCTAGAAAGGCCACTTCGACCAATGATCTTTCCTGATTGGTCAAAGCATGAATGATGACTCTTCTGTTAAAGGAATGGATGGCGCAGGCCGCGTAGATTTTTTCCGGTAAGGTATCAATGCAGAGCCCTCTTTTTTTTTGAGTGCAGAGATGATTCCAATTAAGATAAAAAAGGAAATCTGCTCATGATAACAATATTTATTTGCTTATTAGCCATCACATTAGTTTGAATTTTCAGGTTAGTTGTTTCCTCCAAACTTCGCAAAAATTTGTTTTCATAGCAAAGAAAAGCTCATGATCTTGAACGGAATTTTTTTTCGCGATTTTGCAAGAGAAGGATTGCTCTTTTTTCAGCCGCCTCCATGGTTGCAAAGAAGCATTCGCAAAAAATAGAAGCAAAAATGTGAAATCCGATAGAATACGAAGGCAACCATAGCTAACGTAATCCGCGGATGGAGGTCGGATCAAGGGAATTACAAATCCTTTCGGCGCTGATCTTGCTCAGGAAGAAATAAGGAAGTTACAGGCATTCTGTTATGTTGATCACTGGTGAAGTTTACAGTGTTGAAAATTGAAAAGATTCTAAATAAAAATGCTAGGCCAGATGTTGGATGAGCAATGGTGCCAAAATCAAAGTTTATCGTATTTATTCAAGGAGAAATGGTGCAAAAATTTCAGAAGTACTCGCTCTTTGCAACTTGGGGGTTCAAAAAATTGTCTAGTTAGTTTTCCGTTGAAAAAAGAGAAACCCTACCGTTCTTACCATCAAATATACAAGCTCTATTCTTGTCGAAAGGTATGAAAGGTTTGCAATCTCTTTCTGCTCAAGATTTTTACAAAAACAGAAGAACTCCAACGAACACCAAAGTTTACAATGAAATCCCTCCATTCAAGATCAAAAACTGAGTTAAAAAACATTCCGCAGCACAAAATCTCGCAGTCGTTAAACATATTTTTTGGAGTGAACCCCCTTAAATCTGTGGATCCATAAGAAAGAGAGTAAGAAAAATTTTTTGAAGGCTCACAGCTCTGTAATGAGCAATAATCTACAGTAATGAAGGCATGCATGGAAAACTAGAAGAAACGATTTTAGATCCTAGAATAGTTTTTGAAAGTAACAAGTACATTTCAAAAACCAGCACTTGAGAAAAATGAGAAAAACCTGCATTTTTCACTAATTAATCCAATATGATAGAATTGCCCTGCTCGCTATAGAACTCTAATTATGGCGTTAAAAAATTTTATCAGATTTCTATATGCCTGCTTGTTGCTATTTTGCCTATATAGGACTATCCCGGAAGATTTAGATTTGATACGATGATAAGCACTTCTACAATATAACTTACAAAGTCTATGCTTATATGCAACCTCTGGAATGTGCGCAGGATGTAGAAGATTATACCAGCTTTGTCCTTTAAGATCCTCTCTGCCATAACCGAGGTGATGAGCGCACCTGAACAAAGCAGTCATCCATTCTGACAAATGTGATCTCTGTTTCTGCATTCCATTGGACTTAGGAACGAAAATATCCTTATAGTAAATTAATTAGTGTCCTAACCATTAGCTGCGTCACACACACAATACCCAAGAGGCCCTTACGACAATTATTCGTATTTGATTGCATCTAACAATAAGCTATAAGCTCATAACAAACGCACATGTGATCAACTTCTTTGAACGTCATGTCGAGGTAGTGTTGGCTGGTAAACACATCCGTGTTACCCGAGGACAGCGTTTCTGCATTCTCGGGGTTGATCACGGGTTGGCAATAGGCAGCGAAAATTGGTTGTGCCTGAAAATATTAGTTAAGGGTCATAAATAAGATTGGCCGCTTCTGCGGCTCCTGCAAATGCTACAGAAAATTTTTCCCAGCGTTGATATCTCCGCAAAAAGCAGTTCAAAAAAGAATTACGATATACAGTAGAAATGATTTGATTTCCCTTGAAAAAAAGGGGTAAAGAAGTGGAAAACTAAATTTCAAATTAAGCTAGATTTGAAAAAAAATCTAGTTTCTTAACAAAGAATATTCGAAGCGGTAAATCACGAATTTTATTACCCTAATTTCACGCGTACAAAGCGCGGGGGATTTTTTTTCCAAAATCGACCAGCCCAAGTACGCCAAAGAACTTCGCAGACAAAGGCCCCTAGGCCTTGTTGTATATTGCTTAAGAGAATCGTACGGCATAAGGATCGCTTTCCGAAATAATTTAAAGTGGCTGAGGGGCTTAATCGAAAAATCGAAAAAGGTGCGCCTTGTACGCATGAAATTAGGGTATTATTTGCGAAACAGAAAAAAACTTGGGTGTCGATAAATATTGCATCACTCATATCTGCATCCATCACAGCATATACGACTTAGAAATTCAAAGAATTGAGCTTTTGGAATTTGGCCAGATTGGGGCATAAATGTCCTTCACGTATAATGTAAAATGCTAATTAGCTGATGTGATAATATTACGCTATTTCCACTCAAAAAATTAATTTTGAAAGTAGAAGGCTGGGCGGTTTCAACGAAAATAGTCGCGCTGTTCTGTTTGACCAAACCTTTAAATTACAGGGCTTTCCTTTTTGAAAATCCGCCTAACCAAAAAATCGTTGGCATTCTCCTTCATCAAAAACTATGATGAAAAGGATTCAGCTAAGCATATGTTTGCTGATAGAAGAAAACAAACTTTTTTAAGACTTCTTTATCGCTGTCGCAACTATTCATCTACACAAGTTAGAATCTTGCAGTTTTGATTTTTTTACATGATTCATGGTCGCATGGTGATCATATCACATCATATCATTGGCATACAATACTCAAAAAATGGGAAAAAGGTTTTTACAGCTACAGTAGGCATCTTTTTCAAACTGTCCTCGCTCACGAGAGTGGCACTAGCTGGCACAGCTAAAGAAATTCAATAACAGCTGAATCTAACTTTTTTTGAGCTCAAGATTGAGATATTCCACTTTTTCAAAGTACGTGCAAAAGTGCAAGACGTTACGTCGTAGACCCGAAATCTAATGTTGCAGATAATTAGGGAGTAAAGTAATCACTTTGCTTTTGCAGGTTTTTCACCCGCAAAAAAGCCGAATATAATGTTGCAAAATTTAGTTCAAAAACCTCCTTCTTTTGCAGGATCTCAAGCCTGCAAGGATGAATGACTCCAAATTGCAGCCTGATTCTAGGCTATAATTCTGATGATAAGATAAGATTTACGTTCCTCTACTCTAAGCTGATGGTATGTGCACATAAGTAGAAGCACTAAATGCAATAGAGAAGCTAATGAGATTGCCGCACTTTGTGATAGTCTTGTTCAATTTTTCTTCTAGTAAATAAGCTCTTCTCAAAAGCAATTAATAAACCTATGCTTAATGGATTTGCTAATCCAAAAACATGTATTGCATGATAATAATCTAGCTTTCGTTGGAGTAATTGTAGCCGTACAATTTTTCCACAATCAAAACACTGATATTCACTGATAGGTAAAGGCAGAAACGTCGAAAGGCCCTCATTTACAGAAAAAAATCAAAAGTAAAATTTTTCAGCGACTATCAAACATTTGCAAATATGAATAGATGATGTGAATGCAACCAACACGGTGTACCTATATGTAGGTTCATAGGATTTAGAGTTCAAAAAGGAATTTGATATTGGAAACGATGAAAAGTGCACCATGATCTGTCTACATAAAAAAACATTCTCGGATGTTTATAACCATTAGCAAGGCAAAATCTTCGATTGACGAGGATTCCAGGCAAGGGTTTGAAACCTGCCCAGTCTCGCATATGAAAAGTCTCAAGTCGGTCACTGTTAGAATAGAGAAAGAGGATATTGGACCTCTGGCCGCTAGCTGTTGACCTTAGCGTGACCGACGCAATAAGCTATTGTTTTCTTGTGAGCAGATGACATCTTTTTGCACAACCTTCTTTCTACAAATGTTTATATGAAAATTCGGCTAGCCTTCCGAAGTTCACGCCTGTATTTTTGGGAATAACCTGTAGGACTCCCGCAGTAAATGCGGTTGGTCACCACCAAAGCTGCCAGTCAGAAAGATTCTCCATCACGAGAAGCAGAAGAATTGGAGTTTTTCACTGGTAGGGCACTATGCTAAGTAAGGCACAGTGGGACATGGTCTCCCAAAAGTATGTACCCACTGTGTTTGCTAAATCGTTGAAGCATGTACCCACTGTTTGACTAATGATATCGCTTTTCTCAAGAAGTCTTTAACCTGCCTCAGGGATAATTTTGTAGAGTTGGCTGAACTTGGATTTACAGTATGGAGCGATCGCCGATCGCTCATTATCACTGTAGGATCACACTAGAAACTATCAGCATACAGCGCCATGGTGAAAAGGTCACTTAGAAAAAATCTCAATCTCAAAAGGTTTGTAGTGAGGTTTTCACGTATTTCTTCATAACTTGTTTTCAAGCTTTCTTAATGGTACAATCATGTTTTTGAGGAGATTGAAAAAAAGGGTTTTGTAAATTTCACAAAACTTATGAACGAAGCACTGCAGTAAAATGTAGATTTTACGTTTGGATTAAGCGAATCTGAGTAGCCTAGTGTAAAAGTCTTCAATTTGTTTGGTTTTTCCTACGGTTACATGTGGTCCTCAACGGTTCAGAACCCTCTTCAAAGCTTTACAGTATTCCTACCTAATGACGAGCTATCGTTGATCGCTCCAGACTATCGAAAGTTGAAGCCGCTTTACATGGTATTTAAAAGTAAGCAAAAGATTTCTTGATTTGGATTATATTAACGATTATTACATCCGTCTCGAGCAAATTTAATTTGGCGTTTTTTGGACTGGTGCATAAATCTAGCACCAAAATTTTCGAAAGGTTTCCTTTTTAGTCTCGACACTTTTCTCCAGAATAGCTTAGAAAGTGAGATTTATGTACCTTGCAATGGTGCTTTGAGCATTATAATTATTAAGATTGGCATATCGCAGGGATTGAGCCTGATGAGGGGGAAATACCCATGACCTATGTAGTTCATTCCAGCTAAACATAAGAGAAATCGTGCTAGTCGGCTTTATCTACAAACCGCTACAGGATTCCAAATTTTTCAACATTTAGTTTCGTTCGAAATAAAACTAGTATACATAGTAAGTAAAACGATTGTTCTGTGTTATGAGTTGGAAATACAAAAGATGATTCCGGAGCAGATTTCCCATAATCTGGCGCGACACTTGTGGACCTGTGGACTTGTGGACAGTCTAATGGATTATTCCTCAGAAAACAAGCCGGAAAAAGAGGAGAAAGAGAAAAAGTAGTTGGGCTTAACTTGATATGCTTTCAAACATTATAACCATCTTCTTATCACTGAATGCGTTAATGTTTTGCATATTCAGCCTAACTGCTTGTACCAGCTTATTTCGTACAAAAGTACTAAACGCTCTTTTTGATATCATAAATTATAGTAGTGCAACCTATTTTCTATAAGATTGTCATTTGACGTCATAATGTACTTGGTTTCTGTGCTCAGATATGAACAGCCGCTGTTCTACAACATTATAGCTATGGTTCTACTTTGTACTTACAGCTTCAGGGGTGTTGGCGATTGTCTGAAAGTACTCGGCTGGATGGATGTACCGCCCTTGTAGAAGAATGAACTAAATAAAGTAGCACTATTGCAGTAGGATTGTATTAGGCCGGGGTTACCTTGTGGTATTGTAACTGCCTTTTGGCAGTTCTGGCAAGGTTCAGGCGACAGAGAAACACTCTTTCTTCAGGGAAGGACGTCGTCGGTTGAGGACCACTGCTCAGTTCAGTTTGGATTGTGGGATGATCACGAGGGTCCACGAGATCGAAAATGGAATCGCCTTGACACATAATTTCTTCCTGAAATAGCCATCACTGAGATTGATAACTTTATATGAGGAGAAAAACTCACAATGGAATGTCCAAGATATTCGCTAGCGTTATCCGAAACATGCAAGAGCTTTCCACTTCTGTTCAGCATTATTAGAAATCCTCGCAAAGCTTTACATACATCAAGTCCCTTCGGCAACGGTATACTATTCTCCGCAATTGTTTTCAGTACTGGAAAACATTCGGAGAATTTCCAAGACGATGATGAGAGTTATGGAAGATTCTAACTGTGTTTTTGATAGCGATGCTTCCTGATGTAGATACATCCAAGTGACATAACCTGCAGCTGGAAGAGTCGATCCTTGATTGACTCCGACAATGGCAGGAGATCGCGCAGTCGCTGAATCTCCACATTGATCTGGTCTCGACGCTGCTTTGATGCTCCTCGAGTAGACCTAAAAAATCAAGCTTGTAACTACTCAAAATAGTTAGATTTATATGATGCTATTCTAGAATTTCGAACAGTTGGCTGAAATGTGCATCTTTCACACCATTACTTAATTCATTTTGAGGCACTCGCAGGTTAAACAAAGCGACAATGAAACAATAGAATTTGAAACTGTTCTGCCCAAGCCTACAAGCTCCGCGAGACTGATGAATTATAATTTACATTGAAATTATTCTTGGAGTTGTTCTCTTAAGTACTCAAGATCTCTAAATTTGAACCATGGCAATTTTATTGGACGAGTACTCCTGCACTTCTCGTACCGTTCCTTTGCAAAACTTTCTTTTCGTACAGATCCCTCTTGAGTTTGATCACATAATTACAGGAAGAAACGGTAACTCTTCGAATATTATCCAGAAGTTGTTTGCGGTACCAGGTGGCACTATGGAGACTGAATGTTTATTATGCTAATTACATGATTTGTTGGTGTTTGCACAAGCTATGGACCCTAGAATGAAGCATGGTCAAAGCACCTGTCAAATTTTGGCAGGCACCAAACTTATTCTAGCACTATTCAGATCATTAGGAACAAGTACTATTTGAAGTTTGTATAATATAGTAGTTTATCCAAAGTGTAAAAACTTCGGAGAGATGGCAATACTATCTTGCGCTTATCACATAATGCAGCAAAGAATGATGACGGTAGTTACAAAATTGTAGGGTCAGCAAGGGCTCTGGTGAGTCAGCTCTGAAAAATTCTGACAGTTCTTTTCAACACATAGATACTGCAGCGAGTAAATAAGCATTGCAACAAGACACATTGCAGATGTTTGTATCGTACTATCGTGATGCAATCAAAGTCAATTTTAGCAAATTGAGTTGCAAAAATACTTTTAAAAAACTGTGAATCTATATGAGTACGGTGAAGGCAGCGATATTCTTCCTTGTAAGGTGAATCCTTTAGTCACAACTTGCTCAGTGACGTTCATGGCGTTACCATCACACAATATTAGGTTGGTGCAAAAATAATGGCCAAATTTCCAAGCCTTTTTTCAGATCAACTTTCTTCCATCAATACTTCTTCCTTAGAATAGATCTGATACGCCATAGAGAAGCTGTTTTCATGCTCTATCTAATGGTGTTTGAAAGGGGCTTCCACCATCATCTGTTACAAAGTTACTAAGCTTCAAACAACGGCATCAAAATTCAGAATTTCGTTTAATCCAATTTTCTGGCCAGAATTCAGGCATGTATCAACGACACTTCTTCGGAAATTTAGCTATTGTATGTAATAGAAATTGCCTACATGCATACTTGACTGCATTCTTTAAAGTTATCCAGACTGAGATATCGGCGCCTAAACATGGGTAGCTGCTGCGGTCATTTTATGACGCATAATTTTCTTTTGAAGAAGTCAATTGCCGAGGCTTTGCTCAGTTCTGTAAGCATAGGGCTATGGCATCCTATTAGCAATTTTTGCAAAAGTATCCAGCTGTTCAGCACGAAAATCAGAAAATTCTATATTTGGAACTTTAAGGCACACTGAAAAAACGCTGACAAAAGTGAGAGATTTTAGATTTTAATTCTTTTCTTTCTCGCAAACTTTTATCGGAACTCTTTTTATTGTGTTTTGTACTATTGGCTTGATGCTACAGGATAGGCTACTTATCATTCATATCATTGACAAACTTTGAAGGAAGCTATGAATTGTCAAAAACAAGGTTCTAGCAGAAGAACCTATTTTGTTTCAATTCATATTTTTCTGCCAGCTCGTGATGTGAGTATAAATAAATGTGCGCTGTATTGCAGAAGATTTGCTGCTCCTGATGATCGTTAGCGCATTCGAAAATGTGAATCTTTCAAAAAGTTATAGCATGTCAAAGTGAGAATTCGCAAACGGCGTTTTGCACCAACCTAATATTAGGGTTAACCAAAAGAGCTATGTGGCATGGAGAATAATTCACGCATGTACAAGAAAGCGCACAAAATGCTCCGATTCCGGTGGCGCTTGAACACATTAAACTTTTCCACGGTGAAATGCAAAGTCAGTTTGCGACCAATTTTGAATCATAACCTGCGCAGAAGATTATAGAAGTCCATCCACTGCTCCAGTAATTAATGAGAAGTGTTAGCAGATACAAGTTTGGTAGTTTGATGCATAAAGATTTCAACAGCAAAGGCTGAGCTACGACCGCAAGCAAATTCAGCCGACGTACTCTAAAATCCATATTTGATAAAAAGTTTTCACTCCGTCTACTCCTATACAACTAATCACAAATTTTTTTTGGAATTACCAGATCGTAATTTACTTTTGGAATTTCCAAAACAGTCGCACTTGTAGGTTCGCACTTGTAGGTTTTTCAGAAGTTTACCGCTGACTCTGGTGATTTGGTCATAAATATTAGGTTGTTACATAAGTTTTGTTACACTCGACTCAAAAAAACCCTCAAAACATTATCAAAGGATATTTCTTACCTAAAGATTATAAGTAGTCTTGCAGATTTTTGGATATACATGTCACATATCAAAAATCAAATTTTCGAATTTTTGAGAATTTCCAGAAATCTTTTTTGGCAAGTTCCATTGGTTGTTAAAGAGTTTCAACTTCTAAACTGCCTAAATATTACTAACAAGCCCATAGAAAATCTAAAACATGGAAAAAAGAGTAAGAGAATTCTTGAAAAATAAAGGAGAAAAATGAGGTTGGAATGTTCTTATAGAGGTGCCTTCATATTCACTGTAATTCATGTCGTGAGGGCATAAATGGTGCCAGCGAATAGCCCTTTATGCCTTCCAGCCTTGCCATATATGCCAAATATGAGAAGCCGAGTTTTCTAAAGTTTTCCATAGGAAGATGAAAAAGGAGCAATAAAACTTGTGGCAACCTAATACATAATGAATGTACAGTAATGCAGAATTAGACTTATCTTATTTATGCGTAGAAAATTCTATGGAGCATCTTCAAGTTATAGACGCGTTTTCCCGCTTTTGTCCGCTCTTTGTATCTTTCAGACAGTTTAATTAGAGAAACGGCAAGAGTGTCTAATCATTAAGGGATACTGCTTTGATCGGAGCTCTCAAAAGTACGTGCTATTCACGTGCATGTGAGGTTGCATGGTTTTAGGTAGAGTTTCACCAGACTTTATGTTTGTCCACCAGCGGAGCTAAAGACCCTGCTTCGTATCTCTCAGCTCCCTTTGCGAAACTTTCCGTCCCCGCCAAGCACATCCCCAGGCACCGTCGGCACAAAACCTACGAGCTGCGCAGAGTACCACGTCCAGCCACTCAGCACCTTGCGAAAGCGTCCGTCGGCGGACACGTGTGACGTCACACGCGGTCGTGCGCGATTACTCGCCTTGCGCAGCATCGTGTATTTGCTTTTATGGAGTGAGAGTTTTGTTTGAACTTCGAGAAAGCGCCGAAAGTGACCAAACAGAACGTCGAACGCGGATATTCAGCTGAATGAGGTCATCTCCGATGGCGAAACTGGACACGTACTCGCCGTGTTGTTCTTTTCCGTACAAAACCTTGCTCAAAACTAAGACGCGTGCTTGCAGAAGTAGTGCGATAGCTTAAAAACAATGCTACCGTGGAGTGTATACGGTAGTAATACGCGTAGAAGGGTAAGATTTTGCCCGCTGTTGATTCTTTGGTTCAAAATCTAAAGTTTCGACGACGTACAAGGGCAAATCGTAAGGGATGAGGGGAATACGGAGGACTTTGATTCTACTGGGTTAGAAGGGTATCATGTTATTATTAGCAAAACAGAAAAGTTCAGATAAAAGGAACAGAACCGATGCAAAGGGGTTGCGATTTGTAGATATCACAATATCTCTATTTCACTCTGCGATACTCCACCAAAATGTATTTGAGCACATCTACTATTGCTCCTAAATAGAGACATGGCCCTAAAGTACCCAAAACCGCGCGTTCTTGCACTCAGGCAAGTTCCACAAAGGTTAAACTTTTGCCCGCTTAACACATTGATGACCATGCATATTTTTGATTGTCTGCCTTTTGGGACCAAGACGCGTCTGGATATGGGAGTAGGAATTATTCGCTGTCTTTTCTTCCAAACGTGGCTATCTTACAACTAAAACTTAAAGGGATTCAAGAAATTTCAATATTGTTTTCGTAGCAAGTGAAGGAACGTGTAGCTTATATTGCATAGCTGCAAAAGATTTCTCCCCTTTTTCCAGAAAGATTTTCTCAATCCGACCTTCATCTCCTGCGAGTGCAAAGGTTGAAGAAACTATAGTTATAGAATGTCACAAGTAATTTAAAAAAGTGTTATTCTAACATTACAATGATCAAAAACTCTGAGCTGAGTCGCACCTGAAGATACTTCAACAACTTATGAACCTATCTGAGTTGAAGCCTAAATGGGAAACCAAAAAACCAAACACCTCAGGGAATGCACTAGGTCTAACTTTTGGTGCAACCTTAAAAATTCAACAGAGACAGGTGATTCGAAAAAGTGGGTGAAGAAATGCGAAAAGAGTTAGCATACATTGAAAGGTTTAGTTGCAAATTTCCTCGAGCCGATTCAGAAGAAGAGCTCAGATGTTCCAAAGTGTATTTGGCTGAACATCCTACTTTACGGTATTTTGAGTTTCAATGCAGAACTCGTACATAAAATGAGTGTTTTTAGTAAATCTCAGACCTTTGCATCTAACTGATGCAACTGCGCCTTCGCTGGCTGTACGAGTAGCCATTTAGAATGCCACTAGGAAAGCTCAGAACCACTTCCCTCCCTCAATAGTAATAAGCATGAACATATCCTAACGGCAAATCATTTATGATACGATTTTTTTATCAAACACTTTTTACTACTAAAAACCCATTTCCGTTGTTATAATGTTTGATGATGAGGCTCAAGACTAAATGAAAACTGCTGCATCGCTTTCGCAACATGGAGTACGGTATGCATGTAAGCGTAACTTAGGTCTTGACTGCGTATTAACGACCATGGTTATAGGCATTGCGGTTCAATGGCAGCTTACATAAGGTTTAACCTGAAGTGCATAGTGCTGCATGGTATCCTGCTGCCTTGGATTAGTGTTGATGGGGTCGTCGAAAAGGTACAAAAAACATAATGAAATTTTTTCTGCTTCCTTTAGCATCTGCGTCGTCTATTGCGGCTATTCTGTATCCTATGTTACATCTTATCTTCAAAGTCTCAGCTACGTACCGTTGTGGTGTGTGACCGTTGCCTGAGGGACATTCGTGGATTCTGGAGGCAGATGGTGACGTCGCGATTGAAGCAGTCGTCGGCAGGTGCAGGGCGGTACTCATGACATCGAGGGACTGATCGTGCAGAATTCCGCGTCGTGAGGTCACGCCCTTCCGTACGTCGAGTGGACATCGCTGACGTCACAACGTACGGCGCGTGGGAATCGCGCACATACTGTACAAATACCGGATGCGCATAGGTGCCGTCGCTTCCCCTACCGTAGTTGCAGGAGCGAAAAGGCGTAAAATGGGACTCAGAGCGATAGAGTAGTACTGTAAGGCAGTCTTGACCCACGCCGAGTGAGTTCCTGTTCTTGCCTTAGGTGGTTATATTTTCTGTATCATTGTAGGTGAAGTTACCTTTTCTTGAAAGGAAAGTTGAAGTACCAAGCTGGACAAAACCAAATGCTCAGAAACACTCTTTTTACTCATCTTATTCGCTGACTTCCTTTTGTGACGTAATCGACGGTCAAACATACAGTTCAAACAGTGTCGTAAGATATATTGACAGACGGATGAGGACGTCGGAGTGGACTCTGCGAATCGCGAACACGCACTTTACATATTGCGCAGCTCGAAAGATGATAGACATCAAGCGGCTTAGCTTATATTCATTCGCTCAAAAAATTTGCCTTAAGCTAGGTGAATTCGCACTTACAATCTATTGCTTCATAAGTATATCATGGCATACTGCACAATAAAACTTGCATCCGTGTATAGTTCTGTTGTTGTTTGAGTGTTGCTTCTAACAAAGCAAACACTTAAGAAACCATAGTAATTACCTGAATCTCTATGAGCTCTTAGATTCTGATTCAAGCGGCTAGCTTATAGTCATCTGCTCAAAGTTCGCCTAACTTTGGTGAGCTTCCATTTTTTGAGCAATTTATTAAAGTCTCCATAAAGAGTACATATACGGTAAGGCTTGTTGCCTGATCTATGTGTCTTTACTATCTTCAGCTTTTCACTATACTTGCAATAAGAATTTATGTTCGAAGTTGTATCAGCAAAAAAGGTTGATGAATTCAAGGTGTTCAAGGTGTTCGAATATATCATTAAGTTGTTCCAAAAGCCAACCGTTTTTCTGAATAAATCAAGTTTATATTTCCCTAGCAGACTTGGGGCCACTATTCGTTAGAGCAAAGAAAGCTTTATGAAATGACCGCCAAAAATCCACCTGACTCCTTTTAAAGTTTGGAGCCAAAATTGAAAAAAAAATTTATCACCTGGAAGGAATTTAGCAGAAAAATTCTACGAGGCTCCAGAATGGTCGGCTTATAGAAGATACATAGCTGTGTTTATACATGCGTTTGCTAAATTTTTTCTCGCATAGAAATCGAGAAAAAAAAAAGAGTGCAGAAATGACAACCCCCCCCCCCCCTACAGCTTCTCCCACATTTGTGAGGAAGAGCAGGTAAGTTACTTAGTTAGCTAATTGTATACTGCAAGCCCCACAATATAATGTAATCGTATAATCTCAGAAATACTCTTATATGCTGATAATTGAGGAATACCAAGTTTAACATCAAAAGAACTGAAGAAGTTGACAATTTTGCATTTTCGGACTATTTTTGTTTTTGAATTTTGAAACGGAAAAATCCAGCATATGTATTTAACAATACTATTAAGTGCTTACTGTACGATGACCAAGTCGGAGGTCTCTAGCAACTTTTCGGAAGGAGATCCGATTTTCAGGGTAGTTAAAAAAACTTTGATCTTTGGCTCCCAACTATACCTTGATTATGACTTAGGTGGATATTTGTTATTATGTAGAGCTTGCTTTACTCTATTAAACGGTACAACAAGTCTACCTGGAAAGCAAGATAATTTGGTTTATTGAAAAAGTTTACTAGAAAGCCTAATAATAATGCTTAATTACCAACAAATATACCTTAATCGCTAAAACTAGTTTAGGGGAGCAGCAGAAACGTTTTGCAGCCTTTACCTATTCTTTTGCACATTGCTGACAGCTACTGGTATCAAACACTCCACGCTTTACGTAATGCGTCAACGCTCAAGCTTAGCGGGCAACGAAAATTCGCTGTTTACTTCCGTCAACGTAAAAACAATTTGTTCTTTATTATTGTATGATTGCACAGATTCTTTAGAATGTTTCAAACACATTTTCAACACACATACGTAAAAAGGTGAACTAATAATAAGCTATCTCAATGCAGACATAAAGTGCTAAAAACTAAATGCGGACCTCTACACTAGCAGTTTCGGACGAAATAAAAGCAAGTCTGGGTACGCAAAGTGAGGAGTTCTGAAGTGTGACGAGTTAATTTTGTGGTTCAATCTTCATGCTCTTGTTTTCTTCGTGAAAAGTAAGTATGCCATCCAGAAGTCCTTTAGTCTTCTCGAATATCACTTTTTGGACCTGAAACATTGTGAAATAAAAAACAAAAATCTTCAAAAGCCACGGGGCACTTCTTTCTATAACAGTAATGAAAATCGCTCAAGTCTGAAAATCTATAATCTTTACGGTGAGATGGCAACGTGAATGGAGTAGAGGGGGGGGGAGTGACCCCGTAACGAAAAAAGACCGGCAGATTTCGACATAGAAATGGTTTTTAGGGGTTGGAGCAAGGAATTTGTCACGTTATCCCATAAGTTCCGTCCGTTTTGAGTTTCAACGCAATAAATCATGTACTTCTTAGAGCTAAATAGGTTTCAAAGTACCATTGGATAGAGCAATGCAATCACTACAATATGGCGTTCTTGGTTTCGCACCAGATTTGATCTCTCAAGTTCCAAGCCCAAAACTGAAAAGATTTGACTGTTCGAAAAATCAAGAATCATAACTCCGTCCAAAAAATTCCCACAAAAATTCCAGCTTAATCGCGTAAATACTGTTCACATGAGACATGTATATACGCTATTGCAGTATTTTTCTTGGTAAGAAACCAAGCAAACAAGATTTACATGCTTTTGCCAAAGTGATGCTGTGCTGTCCCTACATGAATAGTTGTATACTGTTTCCAGCTCTCCATAAGTTCTAGTTCTCGAAGAATATAGATTTTAGCGTATGTCGCTCAACTAAGGGAAGCTCTATTCGATAGTCTTCGAAAACTAGAACTTGTAGGTAATTGAAAATTTGTGCTTTTACTTCTACTGGCTAGTACTATACAATTTCCTATGTAGGGACAGCACAGCATCATTTTGGCAAAAGCATGGAAATCTTTGTTTTCTTGAATTGAAACCTAACTAACCTAGGAAAAATTATGGCAATGGCTATGTATTAGGTCATTCCGAAAGTAACTTCGCTTTTTTCATACGGACTCCACATGTGATCGAACAAAGATTTCTAAGAGGTCTTGGTGGCATTCGATGCAGAATTTCATCCCCTTTCTAAGAGTTATAAAAATATTACAACACAGTCAGAGCTTCTGGAAATTTACGAAAGTCTGCGATAATCCAAGTAACGAGTCGATAGAGCAAATCTCATAGGATATGGGGTAACTTTTTTCTCGTTTTTAAATCTTGCCATAATTTCGTAAAAGTTTTATTATTGAAACCATCGAATTTTGACAGGCCTACGTCAGCCACATTCGCATCCAGCACCAACAAATCTTCGGACTTCAAAACTTTCAAGGTGGTATTATGACTTATCACTAATTTTGCAAAGCGAATGAGAGTTTACGGAATCGAAACATCTAATTTCGATTTTTCCGGGTACAACCCGGAACGCGTTCGAAAATATGAATTATGATGATTTCATAAGCGAAAACTCCACGAGGGGGAAACAAAAACATCCATCAGAAAGGCAGAACAAGCTGCATCAAATGACACTCGAGCTGCTTACCGTTTGACGTTCTACGTTGTTTGACTTGACCAAGTATGGAAATCGATCAAAATTCTATTAAAAAATCTTGAGGAGTTATGTGAAGAAGAAAAAATTGTTTTGAATCCTGTAGGTGCTCTATCAAATCTTTACTTGGACTTCTTCGGAGGATTGATGTAAACATCTAGAAAAATTGACACATTTGAGCATCTCAAAAAGCATGGATCGCAGACTTTCGTAATTTTCCAAGAGCTCATTGACTGTTTTCCAACAATTTCGTGACCAATGGAAAGAATGAAATTCTGCATCGAATGCCTCCAAGATCTCTTATTGTTAGAAATCTTTGTTCCATCAAATGTGGCGCCCGTTCGAAAAAGACGAAATTACTTTTGAAACGACCTAGTAAATGTCTTATGTGAATAGTGTTTACGTGAGCAAATTAGAATTTTTGTAGAACCTTTTTGGGCGGAGTTGCGACTTATTCTTGGTTTTTTGGGCAGTCTTTCCAGTTCTCCGCTATGAACTCGAAATGGATTAGTCCTGATGCAAAATCAAGAGTGTCATGTGGTAGAGCTTGCTTTGCTCTATCCAATGGTACTTCGACTGTTTAGCTATCAGAAGCACATGATTCATTGCGTTCGAAATTCAAAAAGGGCGGAACCTATGGGACAACCAATAGATGTGAGTGAAGATGTCGTGAATACACTTTCTGCTCTCCTTACTAATCCTAAAACTGAAGAAGACTATCTGGCCCTGTTTGTGAGCATTTTCCTTCATCATCCCATCGTTCATCTACTGGAAGCCCCTGTCTTCTTTCAACTCTGGTAGTATTGCCTTCTGCGAAGAAGCAAGTCTTTTTATTTTTGGGCTTTAGAATGGCACACAGACGAAACACTCACCCGCTTTTTGTACTCAACATCGTCACTACTACCGGCCATTGCAAACAAAGGGCCAATCATAGGAACAATCAGGAATGCACCTAATGGAAAATAAAGCCGATATGCTTGTTTCAGCTGAAAAATGCTATATTTTTTATTTCCCGCTGAATCAAAAGCGTTTGCAGAGGAAAGCTTCAGGGTATACGGACCTGCTCCATGTTATAAGGCATTTCACCATCTCCAACCTCATCCTGCAAGTACGAGTAGAAGGTGCTCAAAAGCATTTCCCAGTTTTCTCGTCGATCTTTCGCGCTGAGGCAAGCGGTTAGGAGTCGTACGATGTCTGTAGTTGGACAGCCAAAATGCGCTCCCTTTGAAGTAAGCTATCGTAAGCGCTAGTGTTATAAATGTACATACCTGGAAGTCCACAAAAGCAGCAAGCTCTGGTCCTCGATCCCCTTTTTTCCATATCATATTCATTGACCACAGATCACCATGACAGAGCACAGGCTGCATGCCTAGAATGTAAAATTAACTCTGCTTCAGTATTGCTTTCGAAGACGATCATTTGAAAGTTTAATACAAACATGACACGAAAACTAACTGAGCAATTCTGACAGATGGTCTGCAAGGTTTGCATCAATGATTTCGGAAATCACTTCCTCAAGTTTATCTACGCTTTCTCTCAGTTCCTCGCTCCCATACTATCTTAACAAGGCAATCATGGATCTCGTGTTCTGGAATGCTTTTATGATCGGTTGCAAAAGTGTTTTCTCTTTTAACGACTATAAAACGTACATGTATTCGATATAGTTGAATATTCCCTTTTTGCCATGCTACATTCCAACTGAGATCTTTTTGAATGCATACAATAATGGCCGTAATCTTGGCCATTATTTGTTAGCATTCCTATCTGCTAAATGTTGCTAATTTTGACAAAATCTAGCCCTTACCCTATTCAAATAGAGTAGACCTTGGACTACACGCAACAGTCTTTGAGTTATCTGCTATTTGGAGTTTAAAGGTTTTCTTTGGAGAAGTCATTTAACTGTAATGGCATACTTAACTGCGGCAACATGGTTCTTGAGCCTTGGTGATCAGTTCGCGCAGGATTTGATTCTGATCGCCGGAAGATCGGATTTTTGGAGTTTTCAGTATGCCTTAGCGCTGCATATTCAAAATGCTAAATGGGAAATGGTCAGAACTTAACCCAGCCATTCCAAACAAGCTGCATATCATCAGACTCGCTTAAAGCGCTGATTTTAAATATATGTTTATTGTCTGCCACGTATCTATCTCGACGGTTATGGGCGCTTATATATGAGAAATTATTCGAGTTCTAACGATTATATTTCCTTCAAAGGCAGACTGATGGCGCATATTTACACTGGCTATGAGGATTCTAATTTCAAGAAGGAAACACATTCATTAAAAAGCTATAAAAATGTTTCTGAACGTATTTCATGGAATATGCGACACAGAACAGTTGACAAATCGCACATTCAAACGCTCATAACTCCGTCCAAGTAGTAGCTTGGCAGATAATAAACTATATTTGAAATCAGCGTTTTAAGGCGAGTCCGATGACATATTGCTTGTTTGGTATGGCTGGGTTAATTTCTGACTATTTCCTGCTAAGCTTTTTGTGTAAATAATCACTACAAAGCTGACATACCTACTTCAAAATACTTTGGTAACTCAATGTAGCGAAAGGCTTATTGATGTACACATAGTATTGCTGAAAGCATTGACTACACTTACATCACACTCGCGACATATCTTGGAAAGATTATAGACTGAAGTTGATAGTTAAAAACTGCACTAATTCTAGAAAACCTCATGGCTGGCATGAAGTTTCTGTCGCTTAAATTGCTACCTCATTTTGAGAACTCCCGAATCGTATCTTCGCTCAAAATCGTCCAAGCATACTTAGTCATATTATGTAGAAAACTTATACTAATAATGGTGCATATGCTTGCACTATTTTTTGTGGCTATAAATTGAGACGACAAAAATCGACATTCTCCCGATAATACAAGTCTGGATTTTCCAAGTGAGCAGTTTATCTACCACAAAGCATCATAAGTATTAGGTTGGTGCAAAAGTAATGCGCGTTTTGCGAGTTCTCACTTTGACGTGCTATAACTTTCTAAAAAATCCATATTTTTCAGTGCGGCAAAGTTCGTCAGAGGCACCAAACTTTTCTCTATACAGCGCACGTTGCCTTAGTTTAACTTCGCAAATCGGTGGAAAAATATGGATTGGTAAGCCAAAATAATTTCTTTCGGAAACCTCATATTTAACTGATCATAACTTCCTTCAAGATTTGTCGGTATAAATGATAAGTTGACTATCTTGTAGCAGCAAGCCAGTAGTACAAAAAAATTACAAAAGGGCTCAAATAAAGAGTATTTGCGAAAAGGAAAAAAATAATATTCAAAATTTTCCGCTTTTTTCGACATTTTTTGTAGCCCTCAAAATCCCAAAATATGGAGATTTTTGATTTTCTGTGTACTGAACAGCTTCCACATTTCTGCAAAACCTGTCAACAAGAGATCCATCCTTACAATTACAGAAATGAGCAAAACCTTGGCGATTACCCTCTTCAAAGAAAATCCATGGGCCACAGAATGGCCAAAACCACCACTCATGTTGAGGCGCCGAGATCTCAGTCTAATTGTAAGTAATTTCTAGATAAACAGTCAAGCATGCATAACGTAGAAAATTTCTACTACGTACAGTATTTAAATTTTCAAAAGAATGCCTTCACTCGCGCTTGAATTCTAGCCGAAAAAGTAAGTGCAGTGAAATTCTGGTTTTGAGTGCGGCTGTATGAAGCTCCATAAATTTTTGACGAATGAGGCTAGAAGCTTCTTCCAACCATCATTGAATAGAGCATGAAAGAAGCTTCTTGAGAATATGTTGAGTTTTATAGGAGAAACTTTGATGGAGAAAAGCTATCTTGAAAGAAGGGCTAGAAAAACGCGCATTACTTTTGCACCAACCTAATACAACCATGTATTCTATCTTCCATGATCTCTTTCGAGGAATTCACCTCTGGCATAGAAATGTAAAAGTGTCTTTTTTATATTAGGTGACACATTTTTGTTCATCAGTCGCGAGCAGCAAAAGATAGAGGATTTGCATTATGTTTATTAGCGAAGGCAGAGCGGGATCGGGGAGGAAGCGGAAGGTGGTACAGAACCTTTTTCCTTTCGAAGATAAGCCCGATTGAAAGTCTTTTACTTATATAAACTTATAGTTCGATAAATCTTGAACCAAAATAGATACAAATCAAATTTTATATTTCCTATACGGTAATAGCGGTGGCGGTTACATGTTTGGGAAGAGGGCGACGAAAATCCTCTTTGCATAAAAGTGCGTGGCATTAGCGAAGCACTGTGAAAAAAATTTATGGAATGCTTTCCAAAATTTTTGCGGGCCCATGACCCCGAAATACTATGAGGAGGGGGTGGCAGCGTTCAAACTCCCAAAATAGTTTTTCACAGTCCGCTTACCTCCTCGTCCATAACCTTCGCAAACATCTCACTGAATATGTCTTTAATGAATAGCGATTTGTCTTCTTCGGTAAACTTGAGAGAGGCAGCTTCGAGTGCTGCGACGTTTCGAAGCGCCTGTAGTAGCTACAATTCATGCGAGGCAGATTTTCATTTATACTCTGCTGCATGACGAAGGCGCATTATCTTTGGACGCGAACGCGGCTTATTAGCAGCAGAGCGCATGAGGCGTGGGATTCACAACGGTGAGGATATGCGCGCGCCTCGTCCGCGCTCGTTCAACTCGTATCGCTTCTGCACCTTCGTCCTGCAGTAACCTTTACCTGTAGGAGATCCTGCGGTTCGAAATTATCGAATATATGATACAATAGATTGCCTGCTATGTAGTCCATGATGATATATCCTTTAAGCGGATTTTCTTCTGAGAATTTTTTCATGTGGTACACCTAGAACTGTTTGGAAATGGACTTGTTCATTCCATTCATCAAGAACCTTAGGTTGAACTACATTTTGCACATTGTATTTGTGAAGCATCGAATAGAGCGTCACCTCGTTGTTGTGCGACTAGAATGAGAAGTTACATGACAGAAACCAAAAGCCGAGTCCATATTACTAGGCTGTTGCATAAGTTCTGTCCGATTTTTTTGCCTCATGTTTGAAGCAGCTGTTCTAAGAGAATTTCATCTCTAATTCGATACGGTTGGTATCATTGAAAAGTGCTTTCCTTGCGCTTTCTAAAGCATACCAGAATTCAATAAAATTCTTAGTGTACGGAGATCACAGGCCTAAAATCTCTAAGTGGCCGAGGTACGTTCTATCCCTAGAAATATGTCCTTGCGAGGATATCTCCACAATGCGCCCTTCAAGTCAGGTTCTTTCATTGGCTTCGGAATAAGGGTATGGAATGCTAGTATATGCAGAAGTTCGGTCCGAAGAATACGTCTTGCTAGTGAAACTTGTCGTCGAACATTAATTTTCTGTATAGATGTTTTACAAGCTATAACTTTCTGCGAATAGAAGTAATCGACGACTTCAAAGTTGGAGGTGCTAGGGTAAAGCAAGAGCTAGCAGGGCCCATCCACCAATTCCTTTTCGGCGCTCACGTCAGTTGTAAAACGTTCGTAGTTCATAAATAGGCATGCACACATGTGCTGAAGCGAGGTCAAAAAGTGGCTAATTTTTTGTTCGGTCAAAAAAATCTCTCGGCAGCGCAAACCCTATGGGCTCTTTTATGTTGCATTATAATCTACGAAAATTTCTCTATCCATCCATTATTAGAAAAGATGCCTATCAATTTTCATAAGGGAGCGTTACCATGTCAAAAAAGACAGATTCGAAGAAAAACGCTGCGAAGTTTTTGCATTCTTGGTTCTTCCTTAACAAAGATTTGCGCAGATCTCAATATGCATTTTTTAGCCAAGGGACTGCTCAACACATAGAAACTAAGACCTTGGAAAAAAGTTGACTCTGAAAGAAGTTATGACATTTTAAACTCAAAAATTCAAATCGGACAGAACTTATGCAACAGCCTAGTATTAGGTTGGTGCAAAAATAATGGCCGATTTTCCAAGCCTCTCTTCAGGCAACTTTTTTCCCTCCGAATATCTTCTTTGAAATGCATTTGGCATACCACTGAGAAGGTGTTCCCATGCTCCATCTAATGGTTGTTGAAGCGGGCTTCTATCCTTCTCTGTTAAAAAGTTACTGGGCTTCAATTAACTGCTCCAAATTCAGAATTTCATTGGCTTCACTTTCCTGCACAGAAATCAAGGGCATGAATTCAGCTACTGTATGTAATAGAAGTTGTCCACATTATGCATACTTAACTGTATTCTTTGAAGTTACTCAGACTTAGATATCGGCGCCTAAAAATGGGTAGCTGTTGCGGTCATTTTATAATCCATACTTTTCTTCTGAAGATGTCAGTCGCCGAAGTTTTGCTCAATTCTGTAAGCGTAAGGCTAGGACATCCTAATGGCAGTTTTTGCAAAAACATCAGCTGTTCAATACGTAGAAAAATAGAAAATTCTATATTTGGGACTTTGAAGCACGCTGAAAAATGTTGAAAAAACTGCTAAACTTTAAATTTCAATTTTTCTTTCTCGCAAACCTTTTTGTCCGAATTCTTTTTATTGTGTTGTGTACTACTGGCTTGCGGCTACAAGATAGGCCACTTGTCATTTATACAAACAAACTTTGAAGGAAGTTTATGAATTGTCAAGAACAAGATCCTAGCAGAAGAACCTTTTTTGTCTTTTAGTCCGTATTTCTCTTTTCGTTTATAGTGTGAGTATAAGTGAGTATGCGCTGTATTGCGAAAAGTTTGCTGCTTCTGAGCGTCTTTACCACAATCAGAAATGTGGATATTTTAGAAAGTTATAGCACGTCAAAGTGAGAATTCGCAAATCGGCCATTATTTTTGCACCAACCTAATAGATGTTGCCCCTCACCTTTCTTACATTTTCTTCAATAGCTTTACTGAAGTCATCGTGTACAAACTTCTCTTCCAGTTCACCCATGGCTCCCTTACATTCCGAAAACGGGAGCTGCGAGCAGATCTGGAATAGGTGCGTTTAGAGGCAGTGGAGCGGCAAAATGGACCCTAGTCAGATCTTGGTAGCGTTAGGTAGTAGACCCCGCAAGTACACCGCAGCCCCACCCTTACCCTCCAAATCATGCGCTGAGTCCTGAAACGCGCCCCAGACCTCCACCAGCCCCACCCACTTCCATAGAGTGGGCGTCATTGGTGGACTTTTGAAGCGCATTTGCAGGACTTAACGCTTGAATTGGAGGGTGGGGGTGGGGCTACGGTGTACTGCCTCACGCTACCAAAGTCTAACTAGTCCTTTTTGCCACTGCCTTCAAAGGTCTTTTCAAAGATAAACAGCTAATACCTTGACAACAAACTTTGCTGGCGCTTCTTTGAAATTGCTTGGAAAGTCCGGCGTTATCAAGCACATTTTTGATAGAAAGCCCTGAATATGGATGCGTCTTGAATAAAAATCGTGCAAAGTTTGCGTACTTTTGCTTGCCCTATATCCTCAACAGTTTTGTTCGGACCAAGTTTGGCCTGCTTGCCGAAGGCTTCGAAAAGGCCATCCTGTAGGTCTTCCCATGTCAGATTCGTTCTTAGGATGCCATCGGCTGGTTTGTACAAAGCCATGAGGTTACGGGCCCTGCATTGTCTATCGTGAGTCCACGAAATGGGGTGGAGGACATTAGGTCGCCGAAAGAGGGCGGTCCTCGCGGTCATTTGCGACAAATACGCACCCCTGTACATACACGGACATGCGTTCCTGCAGGGAATCCGCGCGGGTCTCTTCCAAATTCGGCGACCTAATGTCCTCCACCCCACGAAATGGATGAGCACGACATTGACAATTTATGATGGGGTGAGTACGATGTTGCGATCAACTCCCACTCTTGTGTGACGAAGAGGCACCAAGTCCTCGAGATGTAAAATTTATTTCACACTACTTTTGCAAGTGCGAGCTGAAAAATTGGTCCCCTTCTAAAGGCTAACCCCAAAAGTAGTATTAGGTTGGTGTAAAAATGATATCCGTTTTTCTAGGCCTATTTTCCGAACAAATTTTTCCCATCAAACTTTCTTTTCGATATAGGTTTTGCATATCATTCGAAAGCTTTTTTCATGTACTTTCTAAGAGTGGTGAAAATTAAGCTTTTTTCTCATTTGTGAAAATTTCACCTAATTTACATAGCCGCACTCAAAATCGAAATTTCATTGCTTTATCTTTCTTGGCTACAATTCAGGCGCAAGTGAGCAAATTCCTCTAAAAACATAGCTACTGTATGGGATGCATATTTTTTAGCTAATACATGTTTGAATCATTTTTACAAGCAGATCTGGACGGAGAAATCGACGCTCCAAAATAGTTGCTCGCTGCCTGGCCTGATATGGGTTGAAAATCTTTCCTGATTAAGACAATCGCCGAACCTTAGCTCTTGCTATAAGCTTGAGGTCAGGACTTCTTGTCTACAATGTTTGCAGAAAAGTCAGCTCTTTAGTCCTGGTTGTCCTGGTTTGCTGCATAGAGAATTCCAGCGTAGTTGGAACTTTCTGGCCTTCCTCAAATAGGCTTAAAAAGTGAGCAATTTTGAATTTCTCTCTTTTCTTTTTGCACAACCCCTTCGTTGAAGCCTTTTCTACGCAAACGTCTACTGGCTTGCGTCTACAAAATAAACTGATTGGCAGCCACAGGAACCAGAAGAAGGGAGTTGTAATTTTTCAGAGATGAGATTCTCAACAAAAAAAACCTTTGGTTTGTTGACGCATGGTTTTCGCCCCGTTTGCGATATCAGTATAGAGAGGTGCTTACTAGGTGACGAAAGGATTACTGCTTCCGATGGTTTTGATTGCTTACAAATATATGAACATTGAACAAAGTATTAGCTTTTCAAAATGTTTTGCAAAGCGGACTTTATTTCTGCATCAACCTAGTTAGGGCCTTTATAAAATAGAGACCACAAACTCGCCGCGGTCTTAGCTCCTACCCCAAACGTTACAACAACTGACAACACTCGAAAATTTATCAGCAAGCTCAGCTCAATCACTTGAAGTATTTAGAAGTTATCATGTGCGTGCAAAGAGACCCCTTTGAGTAGAGACAATATGAAATTGCGGTACCCATAACTGCGTACTACGACGCGCGTAAGTGCCGCAATTGTCACATTTTGTGGTTGAACAACACAACTAACAATACAATCTTTAATCGCTCTCAATTTCCAAGAAACCACATTGATAAATCAGCAGGATGACTAACTGACTGGCTGAATCTAACTCAAAATTTTAATCATACGTTGATGCACACTCTTCTGCTACACGCGCTTTACGAATATGAAAGAAAGGGCTGGGGCACTATTCTATAGAGCAATGCATGCCCTACAAAATGACTACCGAAACTTGCTTGAATTTTCGAGATAAAAAAATAAAAGCATTGAGTCCACCAAAAACTTGATTTCAGCCCAGGAAGACCCTCTACTTGTCTTGTTTAGGATGTGATACACGCATACAAACATTAATTACGATACATTCATTACGATGTGTTACGCGCATACAAACATTCATTGCATTGTTTTCAATTTTTTGAATTTTTTTTTTTCAAGCCTGTAAATTGAAAGAAAAGGTAAAGCAGAAAGTAACACGCGAGTTAATCTTATATATAAAGCTGAATGTCTGTTTGTCTGTCTGTCTGTCTGTCTGTCTGTATGTCTGTCTGTACGTATGTTCCGAATAGAAAATTCCATTTCTGAACCGATCGGGACCAAACTTGGCACACATACACTTCGGGCCCCGGCGGGTGTCATAGGCTACTTTTCGTCATCGATCGATATTGATTTTATCGATTTTTTGCAAAATTTGAGCTACAGGGCTGGGAGTTGGCACAGGGGGGTAATCGAGCATGCTGATCATCCCCCGTGGGGGTGATCAGCATGCTCGATTACACCCCCCTGCCAAATTCCAGCCCCCTAGCTCAAATTTTGCAAAAAATCTATAAAATCGACATCGATCGATAACGAAAAGTGGACTGTGGCACCCGCCGGGGCCGGAAGTGTATGTGTGCCAAGTTTGGTCCGGATCGGTTAAGAAATGGAATTTTCTATTCGGAACATACGGCGGAGCCGGGTAAGCCAGCTAGTTACAATTAAAGAAGCAAATAAGAAGGCGAGAACAAAGCAAGCTTCAGTAATTTAAAGAGAAAGCAAAACCCAGATAGTTCAATAAGAATTTTCTCTAGACGAACAGCTGAGAGGATAGTGATATTTTTGGAAACATATTCCAAAAGGTAATTGATAAAGATTGGAAGCCCTCATAATGCAGCAAAATTTTTGCTACTGTTGTCTCCAATCTTGCTATAGAGACAGTGAAACATATAAAGATGAGACCAAATAGGTTTAAAAAGACGAGTTTACGTGTGCAAATAATGTAAACAAGTGATGTTCGTTATAAATTGTTGGTCTGGGTGTGAAGATGAAGAAAACTTTCTGTGGCTTTTCTGCTGTACATCGGGTTGCTCAGGTCACCAACTACTATTTATTGAAGACCAATGTGCACATAAGGTCGTAATTTGGCAAAAAAAAAGAAACTATACATTTTTGGGTTATGGAACGAAAGAGAATCGTGCAATACATCGATACTGGCATCCTCTGACAGATGCAACCAGTTATCTATAGCACTCAATGTGAATGAGCAATTATCTAGTTCGCCTCGAAGCGATTACGTGATCACGCCAAACCAAATACATCAATCAACACATTGATATTCACTAAAAAGGAGTTTGAGGCTACTGCCAAAAAGTCTTCGCTTACCTTATTGAGTAGTTTATAAGCACTGAGCAGCATCAACCAAATGTGCCGTCTCTAGATCGATGATAAAAGGTTAAGAAAGTACACAACCTTTGAAGCTTTCCTACGCTTGATATTATCCCCAGTTTAAGGGCACCGTCCACCCGCATTCTCGACCTCCAGGTTTTTGTCGCTTCAGGGCCTTCTCATGTCCCTGATTCCAAATATGAAGTCGAGAATTCGCGAAAATCCCGAAAATCCCCATTCCGGAGAACCCACAAGCCGGCTCTCCAGAACGGTGATTGGATGAGCGTGCACAAATGGGCGGGCATGGATGGGGGTTCTCGTGCATCTTCACTATACCGAAGCGAATTTCTCGCTTCCAAAGCGGCATTTTGCGCCGTAACTTGGGCATTGCTTGATAAGAGGCCCTACTGTTATATGCTGCCAAAAGCTCAATACCCTCAACTTAGGGTGGACGGTGCTTTTGATGTCATGAATGTTTTTCCTAATAAAGCCACTGCATATACAAGTGTCTGAGATAAACACTACTTACGTAAGCATGTAAAAGGTCCGTAGATTTCTTCAGAAACCTACAGGGCTCATAAATTGCAGAGTCGTTTCTCAGGCAACGGATAGGACCCCTCCGCCGGAGAAATGGCAGGGTCGCGCCGTTTCCCCAGCGGTGGGTCTCCCATTTGTCCGGCGGAGCCCTCCCATTTCTCCGGCGGAGACCTCCCATTTCTGCTCCGGATACCTCCCATTTTCTGCTCCGGATACCTCCCATTTTCTGCGCCGGAGCCCCCCGATTTTGTGCTCCGCAAGTCTGTCGCGGCATACTGTAATTAGCCCTAATTAAAGGCAGCTTCCAGGCAGATCTGGACCTATGGGGCTTTTACATGGAAAGTACTTTTGGGGCGCTAACTAAGGCACTGCCGAAGCAGCAGCTCAGGTAGTGTAATGGCGGAGATATTCCCCTCGAAACAGACCCCCCGCGAACGTATTCGCATGGATTCATGGCAGTTTCGCGCCAGGATCCACGCTTTGCGCCATGAATCCATGCGAAACACGGTCGCGGGGTCCAGTTTCGAGGGGAATATCTCAGCCATTACAGCACTACCTGAGCTGCCGCTTGGGCAGTGGCTTAGTTAGGGCCCCAAAAGTACTTTCCATGTAAAATCCCCATAGGTCCAGACTTGCTTGGACGCTGCCTTTAAGCTCCAAACCCCAATTTTGTCACTAAACCCCACCCAAATAAGCCGAATAGGACCCCCCCCCCCCCGGGTAGGAGTTTAGCGCGACCCCCAACCCCGTTCTTTACCCCCTCCCTCTCACCCTAGCGTTTGTGGATAAAGATAGAAGAATAAAAAAACAAGACATTTATTTCAAATTAACTGCAATCAATCAATCAATCAACAACAATCATCTCAATCATATGGACTGCAGCATCTGTGACATTTGGGTCTCCGAGCATTGCCTGGCACAGAACGAACCGCGATATAAATTCGCACGAAAAATCTCGGCGAGAGAGTACACGTCCCCACTTTGGGTGGAGGGTGCCTTTAAACTGCCCTGAAAACGATTCTTACATATCCCTTCAGAAATCAGAAGTCTTTTGAAATGTTTTGAAACACTTAAAATGCGCTAATTAGTCCCATCTGGCAAAAATCGCGCCTCTTAACATACACCCAAGTTCGAGATGCAGACACTTGCTTAAACTTTCAGCAATCGAATACACAGCCATGCTCGTGAGCCCTTGGCATCAATTCCTAGGAAGAAAAGTTTGAACTAGACAAACAGTTAGAAGGACGAATCAGAATACCACGACAAAGACAATAATCGGCTGCATCAGAAGCTAAAATAAATGCGGATTCCTAGAAACTACAAAAGCCAAGTCACACTAATCTCTTTCATCCGGGTTGTTGTTTGGTAAAACTCGACATTATTTTGATGTGCAGACGAGAAAACGAAGGAAAAAGACTTGGTTGCGAAATCAACACCACGCCTTAGCAATGAATGATTTGCAACGACGCGCCAAATCGATACGCAGCCTGCTCCGGGCCCTCCCATTTCTGCTCCGGATACCTCCCATTTTCTGCTCCGGATACCTCCCATTTTCTGCTCCGGATACCCCCCATTTTCTGCTCCTAATACCTCCCATTTTCTGCTCCGGAGGCCTCCCATTTTCTCCGGCGCGAGTCCGCCAAATCTGGCAGAGTCGCGCCGGAGAAATGGCGGACCTTTGCAGCAGGGCCGGAGAAGCCTCCCACTTGCCTGCCAGTGATGTCACCGCGACGGACCGCCCATTTGCCCCTCTCTCATTGGTCAACTGGGTCCGGCGCGACTCTGGCAGATTCGGACTGTCCGGCGGAGGGGTCCCGTCGATTGTCTGAGTTGCACCAGCGGTCGCGCAACCTCGTCGCTCCCGGGCATTTTGCCGGCGCTGGCGCCATCGATCGAGGCGGCGCCATTGATGCCCGGGCGCGACCGCTGGTGCAAACGACTCTGCAATTTAGGAGCCCTGTAGATTGGATACTAGCGCAAAATTGTGGATTTGGATTCCAAACCTGAAATGGGCAAACTTAACGCGGAAGCTTGCTCAGACAGTCGAGGGGATACCTCCGGCTGGCATATGGCGCGAGTCTGCCACTTCGCGCTCCGGAGCCCTGCCATTTCACGCATTGTTGTGCTCCTGGGCTCTCCCAAAAGTGGCGCACCTCCGGAGCAGAGATTTGCTCGTCGCGGAGAGGGGTCCCATTCATTCAGTGACGTCACGGTGAGTTACAAACAGGACGAATGGGACCCCTCTCCGCAACGCGCAAATCTCTGCTCCGCAGGTGCACCACCTTTGGGAGAGCGCCGGAGCACAAAAATGCGTGAAATGGCAGGGCTTCGGAGCGCGAAGTGGCAATCCTCCGCTGGCGAAAGCCCGCGACCCTGCCATTTCTGCTCCGGAGGTATGCCGTCGACTGTCTGAGTGGAAGCCATTTTGAAGAGCTTTCTTGTCGAGATAAAAAATTTCCACGTTGTTTTCTATACACATAACTGTATGGGAAAGTAGTTCAAAGCTTCCTCTATCATCAGATATTTAGGATTTTCAGTCATTAGTAAAGACAGTTATGCCTCAAGAAGGCTAAATCTAGAGAAGCTCAATTTTTTGAGTTCCTGAGCTTCTTTTCATGCTGTAGTGGGTGAGAACAGCGTTTTGGAATTTAGATTCAGAGCATTTTTTTCTGTTCAGTGAATAACAATGAAAACTGTGATTAGCCACTTTGAAAATTTTTTATCACAAAAACCAAATTTCCTCATATTTGCTCACTATGAGTAAATTTGGCAAGCAACTCACCTTTGCGGTTTTTCCTCGGAAGATAAGTTTAACTCAAACAGAATTTATACCCCAATACTCACTGAAGCGCCCTTTCCAGGAAACCAAACAATGAACAAAATTTTGTCTGCAGCACTTGTAAGAGCAGCGAAAGTGACCGAACTTGTTTATTAGCCAACCTAATAGAGCTGAGGCAACAGCGCAACATAGCTTTTACAAGCAAGAATGCTTACTAGTGTGGATCTTTGCGGACTAAAACCATGAGCAAGCCAAAGGAAAGAAACAGGTCTGTCAACATATTTCCTTCTAGTATATCAACCATGAGCTTGAATTCGATAGCTGTTTTTTTGCTGATTTGGTGCCAACAGCAGACTGCGAACTCTCTCATTGATCGAACAATCAATCAAAAACCATATCTAACTTTAAACTGTTGCAGGGAGTTGGAGGGGTGCGAGTTTCCATACAGTTCAAAGATGATCACGACTGTAAAAATAGGCATTAGAGAGTTTTGCGAGAAAAAAAAGGCAAGCGAGCTTGTTATGCAGCAGCAACAAACTCGAATAATTTTGCTACGGATTTCATTTGAATACAAATCCGAATAAAACATTCGATAAAACATTTGAATAAAATTTACCCGAAACCCAGTTTTTTTTGATTATTCGAATTTCGAATTTTATTCGAAAACGGAGAAACTCCGAATATCGAAATTCAAGTGCGAATATATTCGAATGCTTTATTCAATGATCAAATTTTTATTTGGTTCGAACTCAGGTATAGTGGAGATATGTATTGTCACATTAGTCATCGCTGGTCCAACTTCAAGTTTTTACGAACAGAATGAACTGAACTAAATGAACTCAAAAACAAATGAACTATAAAGCTGAATGTCTGTTTGTATGTATGTCTGTCCAAAGATTGGCGAAAATTAGGCACTACTCAGAACTTGCTGAAGAACAAAATCATAAATGCTGAAGAATGTGTCAAATTTTGCATAGAATACAACTCAAATTATTTAGTTCTCTTTACTCTGCCGTCTCGGGGGTGGGTCCAAAATACGAAAAAAAAAGAACTTTTTCCTCAACCTAATGTTCAGAAAATTAAGACATCAAACTCCTGTAATGCTAAAGACACTCCGTGTTCAGCTTTCATTCGATCGTTACTGCAAGTCAGCCAGTACCACGTACATCCTATCCCCATTCGTTCTAAAAAGTAGAAAGCACCTTGTTAATGCGCACTCCTCCTCAGAATGTGCTCCACAAAACCTCATACGCTGGAAACCATTCGATTGATAGCTGCATAGTCGCAGGTACACCTCTAAAAGCTGTTTGACGCATTAGCTTCAAGACTCTTGCAGTCTATTTGCATGTGCAGGAGTCCAATTTTCTAAAAAAGGCATACTAGGATACCTCCGTCCCCAAGATACAAAAGTAATCTGGAAAAGTTCCAAAGAAGTGCTTTTTTTCTCTATCTTTGGACAACCAATGTCATTAGTTTAATGAAGCGCAGATTCAAGCTATCACAAAAGTTTCAGATTACCACGCATTGATTCATCCAACATATCCTTTGACAAAAATAACAGCTTTCTATAAATTCTGCTATTTCGCAAGAAAATGCTTGCTTGCTTGTTTGGAGGACCGATGTCGATTATTGATGGGTGGGAATGATGATAGCATGAATCAAAGCAAATGTGCCTTACAGCAAAGATAGGATCATTTACATTCCATCTTGCACCTCAATCGCCATGTCTCGTGGATACAGTGGACGTAGTGATAGGAATGCGGCGTCTCCTGCGCAACCTCGATCTTATATCGAAGGTCAGCTTTTGATCCAAATTCCATTATAAAGTATTACCACTACAACGAGGAAAGCCCCAAACTACTCTGCTAAGTGAAGCGAATGGTTGTCAATTCTACAGTACACTGTAGTAGGGAGTCTAGCTCGTTTCGAAGTGGTTTTGAAGAGAAGGAGCTGAGAAACCAAAATATACCAAAATTAGACCCACATGAACTTTTTCGGTTTTGTGAGTTTCAGAAGCTTTTCACTTTACTATCACCTACTTCTTTGAAAATCTTTTCCTTCGCTTCGCAGCAGTATATGCGCTATAGCCCTTGATCAAACATCCCATGTTAGAAAGCATCCTTATAAGGCCTCGGGCAGAGTTTACGCGATTTGATCGTCACGATTTAATCGCTACAAGACAAGTGTTACGAGTTCATTTCATGCCGATCTTCTTGTATTTCGGTTGTGACCAGTGCTGTACTCACCAACTCGCTCCTTCCTCCACACCTTCCTTGCTGCACCAAAGCCGGTCCTGCGGCGCTCACATACTTCAGAATGATCCTCTTCGAGTCACCGCATACTTTAAAATGATCTTTACTGCTATTGTTTCACGAAAACGAAGAGATGACAGGTTGGGTCGAAAGGGATTCATGGAAACACAAAACACCTCTCTATTTATATAAAGCCCAGCGTTTATAATTATGTTGGTAAATATGTACGTACTTTATAAACTCCGTTGTGCGTCCACTACTTCACCTGAAACTTTGTACGCACATTCTTTACCCCGGCGCAGAACAGATCGCTTTTCGCGAAGAAGAGAATTGAAGGCTTATCGGTAACCAGTGCGTCACCTCTGCTTCGCAGACGCTCGCACTGGTTCTACTATCTAAATGCCTTATTTACTCTCGCACAATAATGGCATTGAAACTCACCGCCTAATGCCGATTGTCACGAATAAAATGTAAACAACTTGTCATTCTGAAGGCTTTTTCATGTGAAAGCGGTGATTTTGCGTGGACGAAACTTTTTGCCGAAGAACAAACGCAAATTTGAATGGGGTGTTGAATTTTCCATTGTTTTGGTAGTCGCTATAAGAACAGTGATCACCATGAGCTACATCTGGGTGCAAAAATCTTGTCAAATGCTCGGGTGAAACCTTGGCAAGTTGACTAAATACGCAACCCATCCTTTTTGGCGCTGTTCTTGTAAAGTATTGAACTTTTGATTACTTTCTTGGGCCGAAGACCATGACTTGCACATTTACTTGCCAAACACGTCCACGACCCTGCAAAAGGTGAATATACGGACCCAACTCTGCGGGCCAGAAACAAAGTGGATTCCCTTTGAAAGTCCGTTTGACGCGCAGTTTCTGAGGGATCCACTCAACGGATCTGTTCGCGCTATTGCTTGTTGGATTTTCATGCTGCATGCGCTGCAAATTTGAGCTAATAAGGTTGCTTGGAACATGCTCTGCGAATTTCGTGACAGACAGACATTCAGACAGACACGCTCACAAAAACACGTAAACACTCTTAGCGCGTTATTATAGTAGGATTGCCAAACCATTTCCACCGAGTCATGTAAATGAGGGTGGTATGTTCCACTGTAAAACTCCTCTATGATCTGCGACGTAATTTCTTCCTTTAAGGCTCGTCTACAATCTCACTTCTGGTTTAGCGCTGTCGCGGCAGCGCTTGGCACGCTTGTCCTCTTCTACCTTCGAACACCCTATCTTCTCTCTAAAATAGTCCTGAAATTAGGCGGGACAGTACATCAGCTTTGTTAAAATTGGTCATGTTCTGATATTCAAGGTCGAAATTGTATCGTAAATCAGATAGTTGTAGTTTCACTTCTTTTTTCCTCTGTTTGATATCCATTAATGGTTTGTGGCCAGTAAGTAGCCTGTGTTGATGTCCATAATTGCAGCAACTTTCAAACTGCAAATACTGGAGCGAGCCTTACCTTTTCAATCTAACCGCACTTTTTTCGGCAACGGTGAGACTCCGCCTTGCATGACTTTTTGCTGTCTATGTCCGTCCGGCATTCTGTGCAATACTATCGCTTAAATAATATGAAGCATCGCAGTCTTCTGCCCATTTGAAAAAACGCTCTCTTCAGCAATGCTAACGGGATATTGAAATAATTTCTGCGAATGACCCTTTATAACTGATTATTCCCGAAAGAGAGAGTAAGAGTTGGGCTAGACTACGCGGCGTACGTGGCGTACGCGCACGTGCATAAAGATGAGCGGCGTGCGCTGCGTACGCCGCGCAGTCCAGCTCAATCTTAACTTTGATCTTTTCCAGCGTCCTAGGGTTCCTTCATACTACGCCGCTGCAGTCGCAGTAAAATATAAGCTCGCTCGCTGTGAAGAAATGCTTTCGAAGAACACGAGCGTGCAGCAAATATGGATGTACATCCATAACCGCAAAGCTGTGCCGCCGTGAGCGTATATTTTCACTGCGACTGCAGCGGCGTAGTATTGAGGAACTCCAAGAGAGCAGCATTCCGGCCTACGCGCTGACAAAAGCGCCATCATCTCTTGGTGCGCAACTGTTTGGCTATCATTTCCAGGGGCGGTATGCGTCAATCTCCCGTTTTGAAAATGGGCGATTATTTTCAATAGTTCCTACATTACGGGTCGGGCGGCCAACCCGGCCGGGAGATCATTTTCTATTGAAAATGATCGCCCGCTTTCAAAACGGGAGATTGATGCATACCGCTCCAGATTTTCTCCAGCTGCACTTTCGGCCATACCTTTCTTCTGTCACTCTCGGACCGCCAAAAGTTTTCCGCTCTTTGTAGATCGATTATAGCCTCTAGTAGATTTATTTGACTTATTTGGGAATCTCTAACGTCATCTTTGACCGTGAACACTCTTCCTTGTTATTGATCCTTACTGGTGTAAAATTTCATCTTGCCCTTTGTCGTGGAACTCCTTCTTGTCCTAGATTGGTGGAAGGATTGCTCGCCTTTAATCGATGAGAAGCTTTTTTGTGCGCTTTACATCTCCCTTTACTTTCGAAATTTTTTTCAATGATTCTTTTGCAATCATAGTGCGTGCCATCACTTTTCCTCATGTACATACTTAGTAATTAGTGATACAAAAACTTTGTGCTTCTGATACTATTGGCGCTTGAGCAGCTGCTTGCACTTTCTATACCACGAGTATTAAATTGCGGTCAGAATATGTCATTTAATTTCTACACAACTATTACAGTGATTACTTACAAAAGTAAGTAATTCACAAGAGGATGGTCACTATTTCAGATTTATCCGAGTACACTTCCGCCTCGGGACCATACTCATGCCCTTCTAACACGGATAGAAGCGACCCGAATGCGTAAGTGAACACTCGAACTGTTTTTTGGTGCAGCAGACTCACAAATTGCTATTTTTTGTATTTAGAGCAGAGAGACAAGCATAGACTGGGTTCACACCAACCCTGAAGCTCCAAAGCAGTTCCAACACAGCGCTTAGACTGTGTCGAAATTGTGCAGCATGCGCTACAATTGCCCGCGCTTTACTGAGCGGCGAAAGTTGAAAGTTTCTGACGGTGTCAATGTTTTTTTCTCAAAGTTGCCTCAATTCACCCTCTTTATTCCTCCTATTCCCTTTCAGATGAGAAGAGCTTTGGACTTGAAGGGCTGGAGATGCGCTATCTTGTTTTCATGTATTCGAGAAAATTGTCTTTGGGCGCTCATCCATTCTCCTCTCTTTGGTTTTGTTCAAACTTGGTGCGCTCCAGAAAAGGCTGCCTAGTTTCCACATCCATCCGCCTTGGGCTAGGGAGAAAACATATTGTAGTTTTGGAAATCAAACTTTTGTTATCCTGACGGCCTCTAATTTTGGGCGTATTCAGCCCCTTACTTTTCCGTGTCAGTGCACTCGCAATTCCTCTACGTTGCCTCTTCGGTGATGAGAAAAGCTGCGAACTCGAAGCTCTTTGAATAATGAATACTCTCCTTTTTCATGTATCCGATGAGTCTTTGCGCTTTCAGTATTACGGAAATTACGCAGCGGCTTCAACACTTGAAGTAGGTCTAACGAAAAATAGCGAGGAGAGAATGAATGGGCGCACAAAGACACTTTTTTTTGTTGTACATGGAGCCGAACAGCGTTCATTTTTCAACTCTGCTACTCTCGGTGTTTTTCTCACAGAAAAGCGGGAAAAGAAAGAATGAGTAAGTAACTGTAGGGCAAAAGGAGAGGGTCTGAGAACGCCCAATAAAGAACTCATCCGAAAACCAGAGGAAAGTTCCAATTTTCACTATTTCGATATTGTTTTTTTTGCCTTTACCAAGACAGACAAATGTGGAAACTAAGCAGGGCTTTCTGGAACACATGAAGTAAGTTTGAACAGAAACATCGAGAAGAGAATGGACAAGCGCACAAAGACACAAGTTTTCGGATACGTGGAAGCAGAACAGCGCTCATGTTCCAACCCTCCTACAAGTACAAAGCTCTTCCTATCAAAGTAAAGAACAGGGGCAAAATGAGAGACATTTGAGAGAAAACCGTTGAAAAGGTCAAAGATCTGTAATTCCCGCCGTTTGATAAAGCATGCGACCAGCTGCAACGCATGCAGCACAGTTACAGCACATTCCAAACGCTGTGCTGGATCCGGGAACTTTCGGATCAGTGTGAACCTAGCTTTATGTAACTATTAAACGCCCCAGAATTTTGCTTTCGACCAAGAACAAGCGGAAAATCTTACATAGGGGACATAGTCACTTTGTTGAGGGGGGGGGGGTGTTTGTGCAGACTCTGTGACAGCAATGACTAGTTTTTTCCGGAGTACCAATGAGTGTATGCTCAAACACGCAAATTTCGAAAAATACTGCATCCTGCATATCATACTTTTCATTACTTCTTGCAGAGGCATAGTTTGTATAATGCGCATCCATTGCACGAATGTTTTTCGCGACAGTCGTAAGCAAGGTTGCAGGTCCGGAAAAGGCAGAAACTACAATATTTACCCAAACGTTATGATGGTGATGAGACATACCGAGCGGTTGGATGACTTCTTCCCGGACTGGATCTCAAGATGCGGAAATGAGTATAGACCATATGATTTGAACATGGAAAGTATTCTTACTTTTATACTAATTTTTACATTATCCATTTATTTTAGCCCATGATGTTACCGATCGACAAGCCCGTTTATGCATACAACGGTGATCCACCCATCACAAACACAGGAGATATTCTTGCACGCATCATAGCTAGAGGAATGTTCTCAGCCAGATATGTTCCGCGTAAGAACCTTTATCGTATGCGAGTTTTACTGGTATCAAAATTCACAGACACCCTCCTGAATGGAATTCTACTATCGACACATAGGACGATTTGCGAACGCAAATCGTCCAATCTGTCGATTTGGACGAGCTCGAAATGTGAGCTTACATCTCATGCTATGGTGTTGTAATCCCTTCCTCTCTTACATGGAACTTAGTTTTGCATAGGGTTGAAGTCAGTGCTCAAGATCTGGTGTTCTACTTTTCTCATTTGGGTGCTGATCAAAAAATAAATGGCCATTGCCGAACCGCCATCATTTAATTAACGGTGCTCTTGTTAAATCTTGAATTCAGTCCTAATTTCTTGCTCAGTCGGCTCTGCCAAATCTGGCAGAGTCGCGCTGGAGAAATGGCGTACCTTTGCAGCAGGGCCGGAGAAGCGTCCCATTTGCCTGCCAGTGATGTCACCGTGACGGACCGCCCATTTGCCCCGCTCTCATTCGTCAACTGGGTCCGGCGCGACTCTGGCAGATTCGGACTGTCCGGCGGAGTGGTCCGGTCGATTGTCTGAGTACCTAATATCGTACCCTCTCAGGAGCGGACCCGATCAGCAACCTCGAATACAAAAGGCAAACTTAGTTCCACTTCTCTTGGTCGTGGTGTATCACATGAACCGCCACTTAGGCAATAGCCAAGATAATCTACTCGTCTGAGAAGGGATGGAGGGTTAGTCGAAGTGGCCTTTCTGTAAAAGATTTAACTGACTTGAAGAGTGCGAAACGCTGACAAATATACCTTTCTTACTTGCTGTGGGTTTCTGAACAAGCAGTTTCGAAGTTCTTTATGTGCAAAAAAATTCGATGCATATCAGTGTAAAATTAGTCGTTGACTTTTCCTAGCTTTCCGAAGTGGTAGAGTTAAATGGATTTGTTTGAATTGAGATTACTTAACGCGCAGAGTAACTCAAAAATTATTTGAACCGCAAAAAAGTGTTACGACTGATATTTATCCTAGCTGTACATGCAAATTTTTGCTCATAAAAACCTTCATAATTGCTAACCTAGGATCCCGCAGCAGATAAGAAGGGTAGATTTGGAATCAGCGCTTCATACCCTTTGAGGCAGTTTCCATCTCATATCAGAAGGCCACTTCGACTAACATTCCTTTTCTTGTGAGTAGCTCATAAAGGTACCGAAACTGCCTAAACCCTATTTTTAAACGCACATATAACTTCTACAATTAGAAATTACTATCTTTGCGAAAACTTTTGTGTACTCAATGTTATAAGTTGCTCTCTGATGTGCTGATTCAAATATTTTTTATTTTAGACCTGATTTACTCCTCTCCCGCTCTTCGCTGTCTTCAAACGGCTAACGCGATTCGGTCGATCTTGAAGTGCGAAGCAAAAATCAGGTAGACCTTTTCCACATTCCTACTCCCATTCTACTTGAGAAACTTCACTCATTGAACTCAACAATGTATTTCAATGATTTTCAAATTTTAAATTAGAGAAGTATGTTAACCTGACAGTTCTGCGATCGGCAAAGGCACCACAAACATAAAATATCTTGACGCCGCTGAAGCCACAAATTGCCGCAATGCACTATCGCGGTATTTCTTCTAGAGTACACAAATTTTGAATCCGAACTTAGACAATCGTCGCGGTAAGCGGTCACCGGGAAAGTAGAAGAATGATTTTTCCTCTCGCAGAATTTCGAAAATTAACCCGAGCTTTTGCAAGGCCGCTTGTTGATTTCTTATTTCTACCCAAGCAGCGATACTGCAAGGAATCAGAGGAAGAGAAGGATCAAGATGTATAGGGAAAGTTTGTTTACAGCTTTCTGAAATTCCGCAGGATGCGAAATCCAGCAACCATCTTCCGGTAACCCCTGGAAGAGCGCCTTCTAGGCGCAGGTAATGCACATTTGATCAAGGAGGCCATTTGAATGATGTATGTGAGGAGATGCGACAGAAACGCTGGTTAGATCCAACATACGTCTTCCTTATCTGCAGAACAACTTTCTAAGGAGCGAGCCTCTTTTTCGAACAAACACACGGCTTTCACATCAACTTGTGGATCGTTTTCGGCTTAGGAAAAATTCCGTTCATACTCGGTTGATACTTTCCAAAAGCTATAGCCACATCTTTATAGCATCTGAATGCTAAAAAACCTGTACCGGGTTATATTACTTCAGTGCGCGCTCGAACCTTGTTTTCAAAATTGTGTTATAATTCTTTCTAGAAAGTTGCAGAGGTACAAGGCAGATTTGTGACAACTAGGCCTCATATGTCCATGCACATCTCATGCAAAATAGCCATTTGTTGCCCTCCAATTTTATGTTTGAAGTCAAATTCGAAGTATAGTGCTCTTGCTAAACACTCAGGGCCGCATGCACTAACATTTCCGCTGGGGAGGGATCGCAGCTTCTGAAGAAAGCTTCATATCCTGAAGCTCCGGATATCTGGATTTCACGCCGTCTACCTGTCCGTAAGTACTCCCACCATCCTTCACTATGAACATATTGAGCAGAAGCGAGAAGCTGTACAAGCCGCATTTCCCAGCTTTTTGTAGAATCCCCTGTTGATCCCTGGGGGACGAACATCTATTCTTCAAAGTCATTTTTCTTTCTCCGAAGTTAACGAAAACTTATCAAAGTTATACTGAACATCTAAAACAACAGTGCTAAGCATGTTGCTGATGAGAACAAATGAATTTTTGAAAAATCGAATTTTTCGGTATACCCCAAATTTCGACCTTGGATCATCGAAAATTTCATGACTTCAAAACATCATTTGTTCTTATCAGCAACATGCTTAGCACTGTTGGGTTAGATAATCTGCAAAACTTTGGAAGTTTTTCGTTGACTTCGGAGAAAGAAAATTGACTTTAAAGAAAAGCGCCGGGGATCATCAGGGATCATACTAAAGCTGAAAAATGCGGTTTGTACAGCTTCTCGCTCCTGTTCAACATGTTCATAGTGAAGGGTAGTAGGAATACTTACGGATAGGTACACAACGTGAAATCCAAGTATCTGGAGTTTTGAAATATGAATCTTTTTTTTTTGAGCTGCGATCCCCTCCCCGCGGCCATGTTAGTGCATGCGGCCCTCAGTGTTCATGTAATACTTCACATTGCTGGTGGCTAAGGAAGTAAGGCTAAATAGCGGCTAAAGTCAATGTCTGAGAATCCTCTTGGCTAAAACATCTTTGAATTCTTCCCAATAGCAACACTTTACAAAAGAAAAATGTCTTTCCTCCTTCAAAGCCCAAATCAGCAGAAACCGTTTTAGAGTTGAACCAGCTCTGTTCGAGAATATGTGGCTGTATCCAAATGGGTTGCCGGATCTTCCTTCACCTGGTCAGCGAGCACAGTTTCATGTGGATGAAGGATACAGACCATACATGCAAATATCGGATGTAAGTTTGAATTTCATTTCTATATTTGAATAGCAAAAATATAAGAACTTTCTGCCATCCTTGATACTGTTTGTCTACAAACAAGCTCCTTCTTCGGTTTCCAATCTCCAGACTGAATAATGAGTTAGATTTTTCTTTTAGTGATTATACTGCGTTAGCCCGAGCGTTGCGAAAAAGAGGCTGACCAAGTCGATATTATTTGAATACAGATCTAATAATCACTGAGAAAAACTCGATGCTATAATTGCTATTGTGAATTTCATAGCGTCAATTGAATGATGTAAAAAAAGTCGTCTAACAGATAAATTGAAACCCTGCATGGCGTAGGATCTAACAGTATGAAGCAAAAATACGCAGTCCTGAAATGTTTGTATATTGTCATCCTTGACGAAGTATTGTCACAACAAATCAGATTGACATCAGTATGTTACAGCTGCTGAAAGGTCAGGAGACGCCTGCAGACTATAATCAGCGCATAAGAAACATTCTTATGCATATTGCAAGGATTCATGAAGTCAGCCCTGTCAAGAAAGACCAAATTGTACTAGTGAGTTTTGTCATATTTCGTCTCTTTTTTTTAAGAAAACACATGCCTTCAGATTGTGGCACATGCTTCAACTGTCGATCTCGCAGCAGGTCATTTAGCACGCCATCGAAAATCGTCTGCAGAGGAGATCGAGCAAAGTCGTGAGAGAATTCCTTGTGGGAGCCTGCTGATTTTGGAAAGAGTGCAGGTAGAGCGCAATGTCTCCCCTCTCTTGAAGCTCATCTCAAACAAAGTTTAGGGTCGTCGGGGATGGACTCCCAATCTTTATGCAATTCCGAAAATGTCCTATGCTGATCAAAGCACAGAGTTCGACTCCACTTTCGTCCTGAGAGAGCCAGTCAAAGTTCAAAAGTAATGCAGAGTAATCACGATACAAATGTGTAAATTTGCGACGAATTTGACTTCTGCATCGATAATCTTCACTTTTGGTGTAGAGTATGGTAATGGTAATAAATATGGTGGAAGTCGCTGTCGCTTGTTATAGAAACGCATGTTCATTTTTAACACGGTCTTGCCATATTTTGAAAACTGGAAATTTAGACGTTGGTGTCTTTTGGATTTACACAAAAGTTTATAATTTTCAAATCCTGCCTAAGGAAAAGTAGACGATGCAAGTTGATATAACTCATGCCAAATCACCTGCAGCAATGAGGTTGATCAAGGTGGGTGATGGATTACCCTGGCTATTTCGCATCTGATGGTGACATAAATAAGCCTGTCTCGCCTGTGCCCCTGGAAGCACGAATTACATCAGTCTTGGCCTATCTTGAAGACTGCGGGAATCGGACGGGTGGTCATCAGATTCGATCAGCATGATGCAATCTTACATCAGCACCTTGCGTCCATAAGTGCAAGAAAAAACATAAGAGTACCGGAATTGGCATCAGTTCATACCCAGAAAGTGCAGACCAAGAAGTTATTAGCCTAAAGCCCTTCAACTCATTTGAGAATCCGATAGCTAAAGGTATTGGGAATCTCCAACAAACTCGAACCTATTACAGCTCTATGATTGAGTTCCTAGCTTCAATAACGGCAGTAGAATCTTTACGGTCACTATACATCAGTGAAGTTCATATGTCGCTTTGCTACACATCGTGCTCTTTCCCTACAAGACTTTGTTTTCCCAACTCTTGCGTTGGTAGTTGAATGCAGAATAAATTTGGTTATCCTATGAAAGGCAAAGAATGAAAAAAGTTTCGAGTGTAACCTGAAAATAGGCTTACACTTGCCTATTTACTTCTAAGGCCCCGGACAGACTTCACGCGATTTGATCGTCGCGACTCAATCGCCGACATTTCCATTCATTTTCATTTCACATTCAAAAATTTCGGGCTGGAAAAGTATCACAACCGAAATTCAATTGATCGGCATGGAATGATGTTGTAACAGTTGTCTCGTCGCGATTCAGTCGCGACGATCAAATCGCGTGAAGTCTGTCCGGGGCCTAAAGCATCCATTCTCTAGAGCCGCAATCTTTCTACGTGCAGAGTTTGGCTATGAAGAAAGCTCAAAGATGCAAACATCATTACAAACAAACTTTGTGCTTTCTAGCTGTGACTTTCTTCCCCTTTCCCTTCTTCGCAAATTTTCCAAAATGAAGATATTGCCATCTAAAACTGCTGCATTGAACATGAGACTGAAATAGCATTGAGAAATATGATAGCTTTATTAATCGTTTTTGGCTTCGCGCAGTTTTATCCAGGAGCTTCACGCACATTTAGATGGGCGTGGATTATGGTTATGTTGCCTTCTACAGAAATCTTTCTTGCTTTATAAATTTTTCAATCTATGAATTTTATGAATTTGTTTTATGTCGCAAGAAACACATTTTGCTGTATAAGTGTAAGAGAAAGTCGAGACCATCAGCTACAAGGTTTTCCTCGAATTATTCATACAGTAAATTTTTCATCACTTCGGCAAAAATTCTCCATTCCGAAACCAAGTCAAACAATTTTGAAACTTTCATGTAGGACAAATGTTCATTAGCATGCTGTAAACAGATAATCACATGTAAAAAGTCAAGGAGTGAGCAACAGTGTCCTGATTACAAAACGCCTGATGACGACCCGATAGTGATTTGTAAGTGAAGCTTTGTTTGAAAGAGATCTCGAAAGAGCACTGTAGCAGTTCCCTTGAGTTATCATCGGTTGTAGAAGATGTCAATAATTTTCTATGGGGTTAGAGAAAACGACATCCATGTAGCATAGGATCAATGGACGTAGAGCCAGCTTCCGGAATCAGATAAGTGCTACTTGTCAGGTGCCAGAAGTCCGAAGTAGAAATGTGGCGTTTGTGTTGCTGAAAAATATGAGGGCTTAGAATTTGTGCATGATTTCATAGTGCAAAAGCAAAACCAATTTTACATGTTTGGGTAGATATGTTGTTAGAACTACAGGGTGTCAGAAAAGTAAGTACACACTTTTCGACCATTGATAAGTGTTTTCCCACTAAGTCTTTCCCTTAGCTTCAATAGCATTTACTACAGAAGGCTTCAACTTAGGCTTACAGTATGGAGCCACGCACCCATCGCCCTTTATTCCTGTAGGATTACAGAAGGAAACTTCCAGCATACGTCATTGTGAAATAGGCCATTTGGACAAGAAGTTCAAAAAAACGCATAGTTGTGTAGCAGCATTTTCAGATATGCTGACTTTAGCACACGACTATTTGTGAAATTTCAACAGTTTTATGATCCAATCACGTTTTTGGAAACACTAGAAAAAGTCGTTGCGGTTTACTTTGCATGACCTATGAAAAAAGCCTCACGGTGAAGTGATTTTATGAATAATCAGCGACTCAGTTTAGCCCAATGAAAAAGTTTTCGGCTGGTCGAGTTTGGGGCAATATGTAGGCACCAAAGGCTCAAAACCTCTTCAAAGCCCCTACCGTAATCCCACGATAATGAGGAGAGCTGGGTGATACGCTCCATACTGTAAATCTAAGTTGAAGCCTCTAGGACTGAAAATACTTGAAACTAAGGAAAAGTCTTATGGGAAGAGAGTTATTAACATTAAAAAACGTGTACTTACAATTGGAACACTCTGCTACGAAAAGTCGTGAGGGTCAATTGGTCCAAAAAGTATCTATATTCTACTCTAACTTCGGTTAACCTAGATTTGATAATGACTGCTTACATGTTTTGCCACAAACATGTAAGCAGTTAGTTCAAATCTTGGAATTTCGGTAGGTGTGCAGAAGGGGTTAAGATTAGCTTGGTCGAAACTCTGCCGGGGTTGGTCCGGTATAATGATCACGAATGCATATCAATCAGTCGTTATAATGTCTTACAAGAGGGTAACGGTAATTTTATTAAAATAGTATTGTTTGTTTCCTATGATTTTCCTATGTAAGTGTAGACAAATTGAATTTTTGATCTACTCGTCACCTCCACGACCCGTCACATCCACAAAAACGTTTCAAAATTTTGCGTCAATCAGAAAATGATTGAGGACATCGTTTGTGCGATTTCAGAAATTCGCTTCTGGGATTCCCAATGGTGAAGTGAGTCATGACTGATAGTCCAAATATTATTTCTATTCCTAGTGCATCTATTCTAATTCTATCAGCTAGGGAATCTGCGCTGTTCCGCTTACTTGTCAACGTCAAACATCGAAGTGATCTGCTTTTAGTCAACAAAAAGCAGACTGTGTGAAGTGTCGGTAGATGTTTGGTCACTGGCATGTACATATAGTGGCAGCAAATGACCAAGGCGTTCGCTGATTGTTGGCAAATCATCTACCTGAAGACGTTTCTCGGTTGGAGTGCCAACCTCAACTATTCTAAAGTCGAGCAGAAGTCGGTAGGTCCATTCGACAGTGAAGAATGTTGCAGCATTGGATGGGAATGCTCTGTAAAAGATTAGTTGAAAGAGCTAGATGACAAGGGAAAGTTTCGTAGGTAACAAAAATTTTCACTTAATACGAACCGCAACAACGTCGATCCAAGACCTGTGAAGAACATCCGCATTCCACCTTCCCTATACGTACTTCGTATGCAATGCAAATAACTTCTATAGCTGTCGTTGGCTTGAAATCGTGTTTTTACGACATCTGTAGGATAGTTAAACAACCATGAAAGCATGCCCGCAGCACCTGAGAGATCAGTGGGATTTGATTTTGCAGATGAGAAGAGACTAGACTGACTGACCACCAGCAAGAAGTAGTTGAGGTCCTGTGAGCGACTCCATTTTGCCATCTTTGCTCATACCTCGAGACATCCACTCGTAAGAGGCAAAATATATGCCGAACGCAGGACAGTCGCGGAGAAGGGTTGCCCAGAATCCTCTAAAATCTTACGTTTAATTCTACACTTTTTACCATGACTTTGAAAGACACGAAAGCGAGTTTCATGATGACATTTTTTGGCTTTTATCTATCTTTATGATTACTACATATTCGAGGAATTTTTGACTGCGTATAATTTGCTGTTGAGATAGTATGTAGGTCTGCTTGCTGAACGAGACTAGGTTTCTGCGTCAATCTGCAGATTTCTTTGCTATCGTATTGATATCATTGAAATTGCTGCGGTGTTTGCACCCTAAGAGATCACTTTCACTATCAATCATCATTTGCCGTCCTATTGCGCAGACATAACAGCTTGTCAATATAAACATGCTAAATATGAATAAAGAAACGTTTCAATCCAAAGGAACAACATTGCGCAATACTTTCTTCCAAAATAAATCAAATGAGTTCTTCTTTTTTAGTACACTGATGGCGAAATGGGCATACTGCAGAGCATGAGACAACCCATTCGACTTAGATCCCACATACTAAGATCGCGACAATAATGACAATAGAATAAAACAAACCTCGTGAGGGTGCCGAACCCTTGTCGGGCTATGAGAGACCGAGCTGCATGCAGAGGGGAATGGAATCTTGACCGTGCACTGTCGGTCTGTATCTGGATAAGTAGTTTCAACCTTTCCGAAGGAGTGGCTGAAAAAGGAACATTTTGAGAGAACTTCTTTTTTCAACCCAGCTTTTCATGTTTTCAAAAAATTCAAATTATTAGTGACATACCAATTACACTCTGCATCATGCCTGCTGCACAACCTGCGAAAAAATGTGCCCTCAATGAATCAGGCTGTGTGAACTCTCGGCAAACAAATCCATGTACGCCAAATACAACGGCATTGATAGCGGTCAAAGAAGCAAGAGGAGATGAGAGACCTGTAGAAAGAGTTGTTCAAAATACTTTGCAGGTCAGTTATAATACAGCATATGTTTTTAAAAGAACGTCTGTAGCACACAATCATCTACTGCTTTTATTCTCTCTTTGATGGCTATTCTCTTCTTTTAAATTACTGCGGGCTCATTGCCCAATAGTCTAAGTTGGAATTAGGATATCAAGGCGAATAACGCAACTCGGAAGCTTTATAGATCTCAGAAGTGTTGCTAAGAGATAACCAAACTCTACACTTCGACAGCGACTCCCACCTGGCGCATTAATCGAAAACATAGCAAAAATCAAAATTATTAATAAATCATCCTCTACATGAATAAAAATATGATATACCCTAAAATCCCTACAACAAGTCCGCCTCTCAGATATGTCCGCCTACCAAATAAGTCCGCCACAAAGCTTACCAGATAAATCCGCTTTCGTGACACCCTTGCGCAGCCTCGCGCCGCCAAAAGTCCTGCAGATAAGTCCGCTTTCTCATGCTCAGGATAGGCGAACTTATTTGCTGTGGACTTATCTGTGAGAGGATTTAGGCGGACTTATCTGGTAGACCTTTTGGCAGCGCAAAGGGCGTTTTTCCATCGATTTTCCTGCCAAAACTGCACATAAGTCCGGACTTATTGGCGGGATTTTAGGATGCTTTTTTTCTAAATAATAAATCAGTTTCCTTCTTTTTGAGTGAAGTATACAACTGCCCCTCATATTGATTTAATCCAAGTACCCGCGGCAAGGTTTCGCGGCTTCTGTTCTCACCGTCAAAGACATTTGCAATTTTATTGCACCAAAGAAAGGTTTTGCAGACGTACAATTTTTTTAATCGGCCTTCAACAGCTGCGATTGGAATATTATTATAAGTGTTGGAAAATCACTATATTGATCGGATGCAAAAAAGTTTCTCTCATTCTTCCATTTTGCACTCGTATGCTCACAATTTTTGTAAAAACAATGGCTGATTGAAAAGCAATAAAAATGAATACAAGGCAATACATGAACATTGGTCTAGTCTGTACACGTGATGAAGATCACGATGTCTCTATGTCGCACCTTACCCTTTTGACTGATTTGTTTTTTTAACGATTGTCTACAATAACTTATGGAGTAAAAATCATAATAAGACAGTCGTTGTCTAATGATCTGTATACATGGTGACATCTGTATACATGGTGACTTTGAATTCTATATGTATCTCTATGGGGGCAAGAAGACAGATCACAAAATGATTGTAAGGAAAAGAAATTTCACGAAAATGTTTGCAGAGCGTTGGTGTGATAAATAGCAATTTCATTTGATGCAGACTTTCATCCAAATCTTTCTGCAAAACGAGGTCTTCGTCCATAAAGGAAATAGCGCAAAGATTGATATCCGATATCTCAACGAACCACAATCACGCTATCATACTCTCCTACGCTATTAGTTTCGCCTTGAATAGTGATTGATGCGCATAGAACAGAGACCACAAACGTGGCGTTTGTCCATGAAATCATGCGATTGCATTGATTACGTATAAACAACGATCGATCCTATGCTTATTTCCGATAAATAGCTATTACGCTAAAATAAGCTCACCTTTGTAGAGTCCAGCAAAACCCTCCTTCTGGATTATTTTCGTAAAGCAATGCCAAGTGCCGCGATACATCTTTGAAGCAGGATTTTGCATTTGTAGACGGACCTTGACAGTATCCAGTGGATGTCCGGCTAGAACTCCAGCCGCACCTTAAATATTCCATTTCAGAAAGAAAGGCGTTAAGTTCCAAAGCAAAACTAACCCCCAAGACATCCGGCGAAAAAATCAATGGCAGACATACGAAGTTCGGGGATAAAGCTTAGTTGATATTAGCACAAAAATGATTCTTCAAATCAATTGTATATAGCTTGTAGCCCTTTCAGGCAACTGGGAAGGCGTGGGAGTCGGTCAGAATAGAAGATGCTGGCAGTTTGATTTTACAGCAAATGCCAGGGGGGTAGAATAAAGTGGAAGATGATGAACTGAACGGACCGAAGTGAAATTGGCCTTTTCTAATATGCGCTACGCTAACAACGCGCTCAGTCCACCCGCCTAGCGAAGAAGATGATTGATACGGTAGCAACGAGAGCGTATGCCCACACGAGACGCAGACACTGCGTACATTTTCTACAGTACTCGATCATCAAAAGTGCAAGAACACAGATAGCGGTGAAAAGTGCAAATGAAGTGTAAAAGACGGGTAGAACTCTGCAGCAGCTCGATTCATTGCCAATATCAATTTTTGAAGACTAATTATGGCAAAAGCTAATTGTTTTGCTTCCGTTTTTATCTGCTTAAAAAATTTCTGCGCATTCAATTCTAAGACTTTAAAAGTCCAATTTTCATTTTACGATCGAATTCTGTTGGCTCTACATTTTTTATAATTTAAAATCACTCTTTTGCATAACAAACACTACAATTCTACTTGTCAAAACGTTCTGCTAGCGATCTGCATAATCGCGAATGAAAGCTCTATTTGCTAGTCCACAGTTTTGTACTTCTCACTAATACCCTGAAGAATGGCAAGCGATCGTTGCCTCTTCACCTCTAACAGATACTTGTTAATGTATTGATGCACTATTCACGGAAAGTGCTCCAGATCAAATGATAAAGTGAGACGAATATGTGACATGCGCAACACCCTAGAAGAGTAGAAAATATTAGGTTGATGCACAATTCTTGCACCAAAAAAAATATTTTAGAAATGCTTAAGCAAGCTGATCAACTTACGGAATATGCTCTTTGTTATGTATATCAAAAATAGTATTTTATAGTATACTTTAGAGAATCAGTATATAACAAAATCAATGTCAGTTTTAAAAAATCGAAATTCGTAACTATTTGCAGGAACATCCAATCACTACCAGCTTCTCTTAGTTAAAAAGAGCATGTCATAAAACTTGAAGCAAAAGTAAATTTGATTTCTATTAGACGTTTTAGAAATTCCAATGAGCAAAAATCGAAAAACCGCTTTTTTGGGTTTTTTTTACTCACTTTATATCGCTGCGGTATACCCTCAAGGAATATTGGCTTAAGCGCCATCAGAAAGCGCAAAATTTGCTCTCTTTAATATTTATCAAATTATACCATTTTATAGAAGCTGGGTGAAGTAACAGAATTTCAACAATTTTGGTGCAAGAATTATGCATCAACCTAATAGTAACTCTCAACCAGATGCTCATGAGTGCTGCCTTCAAAGTATACCTCTTTGAAATCGCAGAGGATATGTTCTGGTGATGCTGAAGATCCTCAGGTTTACGTCCTTATCATGATGTTTGTGTTTCACTGTTCTTCCTTCTATGATGATATCATTCTCATCAAAACACAACAATTCATTATCAAAACAGCTTCCACTGACTATTTCATCACCCTTGTCAACCTGCCACTTTTGGCAGTCGGCTCTGCAGACTGTGCTAACGTGCCATCGTTATAGTCCAACACCACCTTCCGAAACCGCCATTTCTTACGCATATGGAATCAAAAATCTCTGCCAGCTAGACGAAAAGGTCACTTGCGCCCAATTTGTCAAATGATGCCTTGTACACTTGAGTTCATGATCAGGTGTGCTAGATGTTTTGACGATCATTCATGGCCTAGCGACGTATAGGTGCGCGTGTTCACGGCGCCTAAGCATTTATCACTATAATCGAACAAACCATCACATGCGATCCAGCATTCGGTAAAGAATCACTATATCAGAGGACTGCTTAGTCATAAACCGAAACGGGAAGTGTCTTATAGAACGCTGAATACTTTCTTCACACATTTCCACTAGTCCACCTTCCAAGGTTCCAATGAATGTAGTAGAGTGCGGGGTGTTTTCCTACTTTTATGTCGAGCAATGACTCAGCGCAACTATCAAGAAAACGATCTTCCATGACCTATAAATAGTGTCAGATCTTTTTAGTTTCGTCTTCTAGGATGCTGATAAAATGGCATGGCTGCGATCCATGACATCTCTCTCATGTGATGTTCTCAGCAATCGGATTTATTGCGTCTTTGCAAATTATGCAAATTTTCAGGACAACATTTTGTCAGTGATGCACAGGAGTAGTGAAGTAATACATTACAAGATGATTCATAGGCCCTCTTGATCCCCACTCAGCTCAGTTAAACTAAGCTGACCCCTTCAGAAGAATTCCGTAGGTTAAACCTAAAATTACCCACCTTCCCATGCTTTTAGATGGCAACAGTCGGAAGACCGTCCAGTCAAGTGCCACGGTCAGTTCAGCATGTGAAGCTGATGAAAACAGTGTGCCACAGCGGAGAATCAAACGAAAATTACTGAGTTGAGTTGAAATTACAAAACATTTGAACTGACACAATGTATCGGACGATTGAACGATAACGCTCTCGTTTGGTGAGCTTTCGTGGATCTTCGGAAGCCATATTGTAGGGTTGGCTTCAGAATAGATTTACAATATCAATAAATCACCCATTCTTCATAACCGTAAGATTACGGTAGAAATCGATAGAGTTTACGCCAATGTATTGTGTATATTTATAATTATTGCGTATATTTATTTCTTCCAAGGAATCTTCTGAAAGTGCCGAAAACTTCGTAATCAAGTCTTAGCATTGATGTTTCCAAGGCATCCTGCTTCGCCACAGTATACAGGGTGTTCCAAAAAATGTGCACACTGTTTGATTGTAGATAACTCTCTTGTAATTGAGTGTTTCGAGAAACTTTTGGTACCATTTTGTAGAACGAGGTTCGACTTAGATTTACAGTGGCGAATCGCCGACTGCTCATGCTTACTGTAGGACTACGGTAGAAACTTCAAACATATGGTGTCAGTGTGAAAAAAGCGGCCGTTTCAAGAATTTTCAAAAAAAATGTGGAAACTTTTTTAAGGGTTTCCATGGACGCTGAGTTCAATGTCCAACTCTTTACAAGGTTGCGAAGCTTTCTAAACGGTGTAACCGCACTTTTTAGGAAATCGAAAAAAAAAGGGCGCTATTGTTTACCTCGCATAGTTTTTTAATAAAGCATCATAAAAGTTGCAAACTTCACATTTAGAATCAGCAACTCTAATTAGCCCAGTGTGAAAGTTTTCAGGTTGTTTTGGTTCCTTTTTGGAACAAAATATGGCCATGGCTCAACCCTCTTCAAAGTTTCTACCGTAATCCTACAGTAAGCATGGGCGGTCGGCGATTCGCTCTACAATGTAATTTAAGTTGAACCTCGCTAATGTATATGCCTCGTACTTGACATAATCAGTACGTGCACACATAGATAGGTGACTGCTTTGGATATACTTTCTGTGCCTCCGAAAATCACGACTTTAATTTTTTCGCCGCTCCTTTTTTTCGTTCATGTTATTCTTCAGTGCAATTCGTAACATTCTATGCACTCGCTTTCTCGGGCTAAAAACGAAAATGATTTCAGAACTTCGATTTGATAGAATCCTTCTTGTCCTGATATTCATCCAGACAATGTCTCGGCCTCTTTGTAGTGCATGCATGGTGTATCAGAGCAAAGATATAAGCCAAGTATAGTTTCTGTCTATCACAGAAGCACTTGCAAATTCCTCACATCTAAGTGCATTTTCCAAAGTGTCTAGCTCTAATCTCTTTTGAAGATCGTCTTCTCCAAAACACGAAAAAAGCGGCGCAATTCTCGACAATGTTCCCCCTTTTTTCTGCAAAAAATATTACTCCGGATAATTTTGGAAAAGGGTATTTGATATACAATACTGGTATCAGTAGACATATTCGTATAAAGCAGCATATAACAAGACTGGATTTACTTTAACCAACTACTCTTACTCTGCCTTTGGTTTGTGTTGATGATTTCTGGATCATCAACCATTGATGAACTCTATAATCTGTATAGCCTACGGGATCCCCGTAGGCTAAATGGTGAGCTACTCACTCTCGAGTATCTAATCACTCAAGAGTGAGTGGTACCTGTGCGCCAGGAGTGTAGCCAATCGGCGGCATCTCCTTTTAAGCACCAACTCGTATACTTTGTACCTTGTATTCGGTTTGGCTCCGCCTTTCTTCCTATATAAGAAGCCTCCGAATGTATTAGAGGTTGCTCCCCGGTCCACACCGGGACACCTCGATATTCGCTCTCAACTAATCTACGCCAGTGTTAATAAACCTATTCCACAACTACTCGTCTACCCTATCACTTGGTACACACCAAATTGGTGCATCGTCCAGTGAACTTCCTTGCATTTCCCCTCGGAAATCAAGGCCTACAAGACCCGCGTGGCAGGACACTGAATATTGAACCTCTCGTTGCGCGCTCTTTTCGTAAGAGACCCGAGAGTAGTAAAAAAAACAGTTGTTGAGCAACACCACTGAATATTGACACCCTCGTTGCGCGCTCTTTTCGTAAGAGACCCTAGGGCTAAAGAAAACAGCTGGTTCCACAACTCCACTGCAAATTGAACCCCTTTCGCGAGCTCTTTTCGTAAGAGACCAGAGGGTAGTAAAGGACCAGTCGGCAGACAACTCCACTGCAATTGAACCCCTTTCGCGAGCTCTTTTCGTAAGAGACCAGAGGGTAGTAAAAGACCAGCTGGCAGGTAACACTACTGAATATTGAACCTCTCGTTGCGCGCTCTTTTCGTAAGAGACCCGAGAGTAGTAAAGAAAACAGTCGGTGCAACAACTCCACTGCAAATTGAACCCCTTTCGCGAGCTCTTTTCGTAAGAGACCAGAGGGTAGTAAAGGACCAGTTGGTAGTAGCTAAACACTTAATTTCTGAAAACTTCCCTTGCGCGCTCTTTTCGTAAGAGACCAGGGAGTGGAAAGAATTTTGTGCAGCAAACACCACCACAACTTGTG